AGGTAGACAATCACTTATAAAATCAGTTGTGTGAGGGGGGAGGGAGGGACACATTCACACCACTATTGAGGGCCCACATGTTCCTAGCCTCATTCCTTGTTCCCCCATCTTTTTGTTTCCACATCTTCCATGTATATATATATATATATATATATATGAACTAGTTGAATCTGTGTTGTTGTCATGGAAAATATGCAAAAAAAAATTAGTTAATTTTGTTATCAAATTCCATAATTGCACATAACCAACTTCCAAACCTCACACTTTGTGGTGTATCAAGTGGTAGGATACAACTAGATATACCTTTGACACTGTTGTGATTTGGCCAAGATATTAGGGGATGTTCACCTTGCTAACTATAACACATAATGCTACTTCTCATGAAAACCAAGTACTATTGTAAACTATTGGTTTAATGCTTATTGAAGATAATACACCTTCAAAGCTCTGCATGAATCTATTACAAAATGTCAAGTTCATGAGCATGTTTCAAATGTTGCCATGGAAATCTTCAACATTTGAATTGAACAATTCACTAATAATGGAGAACTCCAAATATAACTCTTTGTTGAGAGAAGAAAAAAAGCACGTTCTATGAAAAGATTTATAATAAATGATAGTTAACAAATTTGCATATTTAGTTATAAAAAAATGTAGCAATTGTCCTTTGAAATAGACAAAAATCTCATTTATCAAATTTTGACTAGAAATTATTATAAAAATTACTAGTAATACTATAAAAATAAATAAATAAATAAAACCTTCAATTAGAGCCAATCTTGAACAACTAAGACAACACAATCCCTTTACTTGTAAGTTTGCCAAAAATCTTAGTTTGAATACCATAAATTAATTAGAAACTTAATCTAAAAGCAAAGCAAGTAGTAATGAATCTAAAGCAAATTTTTGAAGCATGGAATTTATATTTGCCAATTGCCAACATTACTTTTTTCAATGTGTGCTTTGACATCAACTCATTACTCTTGTACTTTCAAAGATTATAACATAGTCATATTCTTTCACAAAAAGAATCATAATTGAAAATGCTCTATTGCATGGTTTGATCATGCTTTCAATGAAAACTTTTGTTTTGTTGTATTCATCAAAAGTTTTGATGAAAACAACGATGGTTGAGACGAAAGCCAATATGATATCTTTTTTTGAGGTAGAAGTGAGTCATATGTGTTATTAAGGTCTTGTAAATTGCTGCAAAATTCAAATTTTGCTTCACTTTTGCTTAATTTATGATATTAAAAAAAATAAGAGATGTAGGCAGTCAAAGATCAAATTTATCTCTTCTTGTTTATTCCATTGGCTTATCCCCCTTGATGTGTTATAAATAAGAGATTTGGATTTTTTTTAAATAATACTTTTTTAAAATAGATTGATGTAAAATCAATAGTAAATTGGTTTTAAGACCTTATTTATTTATGTGTGTTTATTTATCAATTTAAGTTGTTGAAAAGTATTTGATTTTTTTTTAAAAAAAAAAAAAAAAAAAAAAAAAAAAAAACCACAACAATATTATCCAACTTTTAAATATTGTAATATTTTTTGGTGATTTTTAATATAATACATTCTCATTACAACACCTCTATTATATACAAATAATAGTGATTTAAGGTTATTGCAACAATTATACAATCATTTAGTTTTCAATACCAATGAATTATGGTGCAAAATAATGAAATTAAGAATCATACAAGAATATTTTAGTGCAGCTATAAAAAAATATATATGTGAATATATATATATATATGTATATATATATATATATGTATATATATATGTATATATATATATATATATATATATATAACACATAAAAATGCAACAAAGACAGGAGAACCTGATAATAGCATAAAACATTTAAACCAATGTAAAAGATAAAAAAAAATGAATAAAATAAAATAAACACAATTAATTCCAATTAAATATATTGATTTATATGAGTTTACAAACATATCAATTTATTACTTTTTATGAATGCAGCAAACCTTCAAAATAATCAAATTTAGTCTCAAGCATCACAAGGAGTACAATCAAACACACGTATTCATAATTAGAGTTGTTTATTTCGACTCAAAAGAACTAGTTAAAACAACCCTTAATACATGTCATGACAAATGAGATGTTTACTGCAATTCAATTTTTGTATAATCGAGATCTTTCTCTTTTTTATTTGTCAACTGAAGTACCCTTTTCAGAGCAGTAAGTATTTTATTTTTAAATTTAAGCTTTACAACATTTATTATAATGGTTGAAATTAACTTCTAATACAAATACATATTCTTTTAAAGAAAGATATTCTGCATTATTTAATAAGATTTTAATTCAAATGGGTGTTAATAATGTTTTTCAAAGTGCATAAGGGTCGTAATACTGCTGTTGGAATTATTTCTTTACAGATAAAAAATTTTACGATAAGGAAAAATAAAGGATTTTGGCACACATGTGCAAGAGATGCTACTATCATAATTAAAAAATTAAAAATTAAAAAGAAAGTACATATCATTTTATTCGAAGTCAATAATGAAATTATATTATACATCGCTACATGTAAGCATATCCTCATGGACAACATCGTATTTATTTTAACATACAAATGTACTTAGTGCTTAGTAGTTAATGAAACCAAATATGAAATGTTTATCTACATGTCAAAGTAAATTAATACATATTCAAACATAGAAGATTTATTCACACGCATATATATATATATATATATATATACACATCACTCCACATTTTGATGCAATACCTCCAAGTACTCTTCCATAAATACTTTTATTTTATTCCTTTTTGAAAACTTTCTCGCTTCTTTTATGGGGAACGTCCGGATTGAGTCAAGGACCCAAAACCAACCACCAGGGGAACCTCGAACTCCATTGAGAACGTTGAGCTTTTGAGTCCACGTCAGCCAGAGCAAATTCCCTCGGTTGACTCTTCCACACCCGTGCGCCAGGTGGAAGGACCCCGGTCGTCGCCCGTCCCGTCATACCCGCGGACGAGACCCCACGTGGTTGCAATCGCCGGACGGAGCCGACGCGGATGGACCTCGTTCGTCATCAAGTGACGGACAGTTGGCGATGACACCGTCAACGTATCTTAACGACGAACAACGTCCATTTCTCGCCCACAATTTCGTTCGTTCGTATCGGTCCAACCACTCATTGCGCGGTGGGCCAATTCGGGAGGTGCGGTTAAAGGGGGTCACGGTGAAAGGTCTCAGCGGTGATAGAAACACTCTAGAACACCGCGACCTTGCCTCCCAGTGTGCGGGAACCGTGGCCAGTCTGCTTGTCATTCCTCTTTATAATATTAACTTTTCATGAATAAAGTTTTTCTTTTTCTTTTTCCTTATTTTTCTGAATTTCCTTCGCAATTCTGACTCATCATGGTGAAGTTATACGATGTAATGTGTGCATTCAAAACGGAAGGTGGAATTTTTTAGAATATCAACCCATTAAACTCAATCCAAAAAGCAATTTACACACTTGTTGTATAATCTAATGAGTGAAATAATAATAAAAATCAACAAGGTGTTATTTCAGTGTGCTCTGCGTCCTCTTGAATTATTTCCTTTATTGGTTGTAAGTTGTAAGTTGTAAATACAATTACACTGACGAAAACATGTCATCACATAAGAAAAACTTAATATATATATATATATATATATAACTGGGTATCCAAAGAGTGCTTCAAAATAAGGTAATGTGATGTGAGACAAACCCTAAATCCCTCCTCCCCCCAAGGAAGACCTTGGATTCATCTTTGTTGTTGTCCACTAAGGTTCACAATTTTTTCTATTACCAAATCAAAAAAATGGTTTTAGAAATTGAATCATTAGAGCAAGATGGGTCAATTTGACATTTAATTGGGTTGATTTAATAATCCCTCAAAAATTTAAAATGTGCTTTTTATCACAGGGTTCTGGAGGCTACATGGTTTTGGAGGTGGGTGTTCTGATCATGGTTGGTGTGCTTGTGATGAAGACCACACAGCCACAAAATTAGGGTTTAGAAGATATATATATATATATATATATATATGTATACATATAAGTTCATGGAAAAACATGATTTGGGTTTGGTATTCAATTCCATGTCAATGGTAAAGTACTTCATTTGCTGGTGCAACTGCTCACCACACCTCCTCACACTATTCTTCATTTTTCAACAAGTTTTTGTAAGACTAAAATCATTTCAACAAACACAGAAACATAAAGCAATTCTGTGTAATTAGTGAGGCAAAGCAGTTTCCAGGTTAGTGTATAATTGGATTTATGTACAACGTGGGTTCTTTAAAACTTGCAAAATATAAATTTGTGGAGGGTTTCATTGTGCACTGGATTGATTATAAAATTCAACTAACTGTAGTGTTGATATGTCACAACTTTTGTGAATAATTGAAAAGCCATTTGATTTTAGAAGGATATGGTGATTTTCTGTGAAGAATCTATGATTGCTTTTGTGAAATTGATGTTTACTTGAAGGTTGTCCTTCAGACTGTACAACTTGAATCTGCTTTGACTGTTTCTAAGTCATTTTTGTCGTTCGAAGAATAAGTTATATTCCTTGCAACATGGTATTTTTAGTCGTCTTCTTTGGCCTTTTCAACTACATTATGCCCTCAGTTGTTTTGATGATGTGTTTATTTATTAATATTCTTATTCTTATTGTTTATTTATATTATTAATGTCATTACTATGTTGTGGTTATAATTTTGCACCCAATTAATTTTGGAGGTTTATTAAAAAAAAAGTATACATCAAATTGAAAAAGTAAGTCATGCATATCAACTTATTACAAATTGTGGTTTTTAAAAGTATACAATTTAAAAGTATCATTATCTTTAATATACACTTTTTAAATCAGTTAAATTTTAATATATATAAAAAACGTTTGTAAAAAGAACAACTAAACCAACCACTATTTTTGGTGTTACTTTATAAAAATAAAAAAAATCTTCTCCTTTATATCAATACATATGCACACGTGTGCTTAAAATCTACTGAATTGCATAGATTAAAAATTAAAAATTAAAAATTAACAGCTGCAAACAAACCAAAGCTCAATCCAAAAACCTTGGTGCAAAAGGTTACACGGAGGGAGATGGAATCTAATTCATTATCTCTTTTCTCATGCTTCTTAAAAATATCTATCTCACACATTAAAAACTAACTCTAATCCTTACCACAGCTAAGCAAAATATATTGCTTAAAAAACTATTCAAACCGCTTTATCTATAGACAAATATATTAAAACTGTTACCAAAACAAGGTCCAAACTTAGTACATTCATCATACTTCTAAAAACCACAACAACTAACCATGCGCCAATACAACACTTCAGTGTTGAATTTCTTATATTTTGATATTCAGTACCTGGAGACCTCACAGCAGCAAATCAGCAAGAATCAAACCTGGGGGATAAGGACCCCACAGTTTTGATGATTTTGATATTGAGGGAGAGCGTTGTCGTGTTTGGGTTGCATCCCAGAATCACCAGATATTATCTTCTATCCCACTGGTAACCTGGCCTCCAAGTCAGTCACAGTCCTCATGAACAGTCTTGCAAAAATGACATTCTTAACGGTGCAGACTTCCTGCTCAACCAGAGCTTGTGTTAGATATATTTGCAGCAATGGGTTAAGCTCTACACATCACATAGGGGACCACAACAACAGCAACAATGGGAACAGGCAGATGGAGATAGAGCAGCATTAACTCATGGAGCAGCCAAGTTAGAACAGAATTCTGCAACAGGCACACACACAGAAACCCACACACAAACACACATCCACAGACAGGTGCCAGCCCACTGTCACTTTGTCTGGGATCCTGCTGCTCCGTCTGCCAGGATTGTACAACAAAATGCATGGGCTCATTCATCTCTCTTTCGACATCTCCTTACATTTCCTGTCTTTATTATTATAGTATTATTATTCTTATCATTAATGTTATTAATCTGATGTTTTTGCCTGCGTGGCCTACAGTGTGTATCTGGGGAAATCCTACCATTCCTAAGCCCTATCCTGCAAAGCGCTACAGGTCAATTGATTACCTTCAGTCCATGCCACACATTTTACAGACATGCCAAAGCCGCAGCAACGCGTCATGGATTTTGCCGGTCTGTATATACACATCGTTTCCCTCCTTTAGCAAAGTTACTGCAGGAAAATCCACAATATCCACTCCATCTTGGACTGTAGAGACGTAAGCTTTTTAGTTGTGGACGTATTCGACAATCAGGTACAGATTTAGCTTAATTTAGAAAGAATGCAAAGGAAGAAAAGGAGCTTGATGCGTGGGGTTTTCATTAGCGAAAAAAACAGAGAGTTGAGTACAGTGAGCGGAATACTGGGGAAGAGTTACCCGCGTTGCATAGAGTGGCCGACAGAGTCACGCTTCCAAGCATTTGGTGGCGATGCTTCGAGGAGCCTATCCGGGATTGCGTTGAGTGTGAGCGTGCGTGCGTGTGTCTAGAAATTTCCCAACCTCCGTTGCGGGACATCTGCGGAGCGCAGGGTTCCTTCGAGACTATACCACCAAGTAGGAAGCAAAGTATTTTTACCTTCCTCTCTCACCGGTGTCTGTGCAGGGATGGCGTTGCTTGTGGGAGGGGACAACTCCAACTCAGCAGTGCAAAACAACAAAACCCATCTCACCAGGGTAACAAATAACCAGACGACGCCTCACTGACTGGAATCATCGGCGGGAACTCGATCCACGACCCCTCTCATACATGGTAGGGTAGGATAACTTCGGCCCGAAGTTCCCCAAACAGCAGCAACAGCAGGAGCTCGGTAAGTAAACAAACAATCGGCTACTCCCGCTGCAGCCAATGAGATCCTTCAAGCCGTGACCGGCCTTGCGAATCGCCTGACCAGGCTCTGTCTCCCCCCCCCCCCCCCCCCCCAAAATTTTGAGGGGCCGGGCGTCCCAACGAGGAGTCTTTCACCTTTTCCCATTTAAAAAAAAAAAAAAAAACCCCAAACCTGCAATTTCTTCACGCCGCCCACATACGATGGACCCAGGGTTTTTTCGGAAACCGTACGAATACCTCCCCCTGGATCGAGCTCAGGGACCCCACTCTGGGGGTCATGTTGGTGCCCTGGGCTTGCTGAAGCCGATTTTGAAGGGGGCTGGTGCTGCAGCTCTTGCCACTTCTTCCCTTTCCTTTTCTTTTCTTTCACCCCCCCCCCCCCCCCCCCCACGTTTTGGAGTGTCCGGCCGTCCCAACGAGGAGTCTTTCACCTTTTCCCATTTCAAAAAGAAGAAAAATAGCACGATCCTGCAATTTCTTCACGCCGCCCACATACGATGGACACAGTGTTTTTACGGATACAGTACGAATACATCCCCCTGGATCGAGCTCAGGGACCCCACTCTGGTGGTCATGTTGGTGCGCTGTGCTTGCTGATGCCGATTTTGATGTGGGCTGTTGCTGCAGCTCTTGCCACTTCTTCCTCTTCCTTCTCTTCCACCTCCTCCTCCTCCTGTTCCGAGTCTCCTTCCTCTCCTCTTCTTCCTTGCTTCCTGTTCCACCGACCTCACTCTGCCTTTTTCTGTGGCGGATATTGGACTGAATAAAAATGCTCGTGATGTGTTTCTGCGCGGTAGAGGGCTTTCATGTCTTGTCTGGAGGGAGTGAAGAGAGTGAAGGAGCGCAGGGTTGAGGTGTTGGAATTGAGTGGAGGCTTGGGAGTTTGGTGCGAGGAGCTTTGGTATAGGAGTGAGATTGGAGGCTTCGGCTATTATGTGTGAGCGTATGGCGATCTTTGTTGGTGGGTTGGATTGAAGGCAGTAGTAAGGATTCTGTGTTGGGAGGCTTGGATATGTGTCGATGCTTGTGATGTGATCTGGTCGTGTTCGTGGAGCTTTGGATCGGAGGGAGCTTTAGGGTTGGGAAGCGGGAACTTGGAAGTGTGAGAGAGGTAGCAACTGAGGTGTTCTCGGAGGGGCAGATGCTTTCTTGGTGCAGTGTATGTTATTCTTGGGTGAGCTACGTCGATTTTGGAAGAGGGAGCTTTGCGGCTCTGATTCAGGTATGGGAGGTCTTCTACCATGTTGGTGGTTCAAGGTAGTGCCTTGGGATGCTTGATGGAGGAGATTTTCTTTGGTGATTCGCTGCGGATAGACGTCGAAATTATTTTTGAGATTTCAGTGGGTGTAGTGGGTGCGGTGCGGAGGCGGTCCTGATCGGCACTACTGGAGGTCGCCAACTTGGGCACGCAGATCGGCTACGCCAAGTAATTTACTGGGAGGATCCGCTTGTGGTGCTGTGGACGGATTATTTTAGGTTTCTTTCGTAGTACGGGTGCATATCTGGCTCTTGAACTCGTGCATCTTATCCTTTTAGCAAAAGTTTTACCTGCTGCCTTCCACTTGAGGCAGCTTCCCCATGAGACCGTAGTCCAATTCTGCTCACTACTGTGGGTTTTTGGTCCTAAATGGGTGGAACCTTATTCGTCCAATTGAGCTTCTTCAGGTTGTTGGGCGGGTACTGTAAGCCTGGTGAGATTTTTTGCAATTTTTCGGTCGGTAGTTTTGTGTGCATCCTTTGTCGGCTGATGTATTCTTCTCAATCATGCGACAGTTGGCGACTTATTGGTTCTTGGTTGGTGCATTTTTGAACTATTTTTAGTGTCCCATCCAGTCTAGTTCCATAGAGGGGTTAATTCACCAGATACGATGATTTCTGTGCAACTTATTCGTGCAAGCAATTCCTCTTACACTCTGTGGTGTTTTGAAATTATAATTATATTGTTGTGTGCAGAACATTTCAAAACAAGAGCAACTTTTAATTTCGAGAGGTTGTCAGCGTTGAGAGTAGAGTGATTGCTCAAAGGCTCATCCGAATTGAGCACTATAACTGGACGCACTTGGGCACGTTTGATGGTTTCAGTGCTTTTGATGTTCTGAATTAAATGTTCTTGGAGCTTATCCAGCTTAGTATTTGGGAAGTTCCGGTGCTGCTAAAGTCTTAATAACTTTCAGAGACTTCAGAAGATGGGGTGCAATAATTCTAAGATCGATAACGAGGAGGGGGTTGCAAGATGCAAGCAGAGGAAGCGCGTGATGAGGGATGTAGTCGCTTCTCGACACAACTTCGCAGCTTCACATGTCATGTTCATAAAGTCTCTGGGTGATGTTGGCGTAGCTTTCCGAGTATTTGCAGAGGGAGAAACGACAAAGGAACATATAATGTACTCGGAGGTGTCTACTCCGAGAACACCCACTCTGTCACTTGGACCTCCTCCTGCAACGCTACACCCTCCACCCCCCTTCTCTCCTGGGTTTTCGCCCTCTCCTCCTCCTCACTCACCGCCATCACCTCATGTCAAGCTCTCCGCACTGCGTTTTCAGAATGGCTCGCCTATTACAAGAGCAGTCAGTTCGCCGGAGAGTTTTGCCCAAGAATTCTTTCCGCCTCCCCCTCCTCCTGTAGCTTTGAAAGAGCATAGAATGGAACACACTCCCTCTGCCAGCATAACCAACATATATAGGTTTAATGAAGGGTCTTCTAACTCATACAAGTCGTATAGATTGGAGGGTTCTCCGCCTCCACCACCCTTCCAACCTATTCAAATGGACGATGATTGGAAATACTCTGGACGTAGAGCCCCGCCCTCAAATGCTGCTAGAGAAAATAACCCTCCCCCTCCTCCACCTGTCACTCGGAGTAGTTGGCAAGACTTGTTTATGGATCCATTTCGGCCTTCACCACCAGTATTCAATTACATGGAAGAGAGAAGGAATCCAGATGTGGGTAGTAAGCAGTCTCAGGAGATAGAGGAGCAAAAACGTAGACAGGAATCTGAACGGAAAAGGAACCATGAGGCGGAACATAGGAGGATGAAAGAGGAAGAGCTGGGAAGGAAGCATGATATTGAGCAGAGGATTCATGAGGAACGGAGGAAGGCTCATGAGTTGGAAGAGAGGAGGAACCGGGAGCTTGAGCAAAGAAGGAGAGAGGAGAGCTCTGCTCGCCCGCCGCCTGTAAGGATTGTGGAGGTCAAGCCGAAGAATTTTGTGGACGATATACCGGATTTAGAGGAGGATGATATACCGGAGCTTGAGGATGTTGACGAGGATATTGATTGGCCACCTCCTGAGGTATATTTCCCCAAATTATTCATTTTATTTATTTCTTTATTTTGCAGCCTGTGGTCGAATGGGTCGTCTTACACGTCTTTTACTGTCTCGCTGTGGATGCAAATGGTGTGCGTAAGTGCTGGATATTTACATCTCCTCGTAGCTCCTGTACTTAATGCAGTGTTGACTGTAAATTAGGCTCGATATACAGTCAGGCGTGTAGTTGTTCTTCGGTACTTGCTCAAATTATGTTGTGTTATTGGAATTACCTTGACGATTTTTTCAAGCGTGCACAGATATCGTGCCTTTTAATTGTTTCATGACTTCTACTTGGGTGTTGTAGTGACCGCATCCTTGAACACGTAACTAAAATAGTAAAGAAGCGAAGCTAAAGCCATATGATCGATATTAGGGTACAGAAAACTTATTTTTTTCTCGATATCTTGTGGTTTTCAGGACTTAGCTAATGGGAAAAATATTCATGCCGTCAAGAAACCGCAGTCAGCACCAGAACCGTCACCGAAACGAGCTCCGGAACCATCACCGAAACCAGCACCAGAACAGTCACCGAAACCATCACCAAAACCAATACCTGAACCGCCACCGAAACCAGCTGCAGAGCTCTCACCGGAACCAACACCAGAAAAGATACCTGAACCAGTGCCAAAACCAGCAGCACCAAAACCAGCAGCACCTGAGCCGGCAGCATCTGAGCCAGCACTACCGAAATCAGTACCAGAACCAGTACCAGACCCTAAAACTCCGCCAAAGACCCCGTCACAGACCCCACCGAAATTTCAGGAGCCACCACCTAAGGCAGGAAAGGCAGCGAAAACGCCAGGGAAACCTCCGAAACCTGAATTCTCAATCGCGAAGACCAACAAGGATTTGGCTGTCTCAAAAGCGGAAAAGGGTGGCCGGGACCTGCTCGAAGTTCTGAAGGAGGTTGATGAGTGTTTTGTAAAAGCTGCGGAGAGTGGGGAAATTGTGTCGACTCTTCTTGATACGAAGAAAGCACATTACCATTCAAATTTTTCAGACAGTTTGAGAGGTGATAAGCCGAAAGCACCTGTATTGGACTACTTTGCAACACTCCAAGTCATAAAGCTAGATATCAAATTAAAACATGTCATGTATTTTGGTTTGTATTCTTACATTTGAGGTGTGTGTTTTTGCAGGAGTGGGTGAATCCGCAAGGATGAATCTCTTGAGGCTGTCTGGAAAATCAGGGTCATCCAGTTTTAGGACCACCAGTAACCTGAGTAGTTTGAGTAACACGAGTGTTTTAAACGATGAGTCTCCAAGCATTATGAGTATTCGTAGAAGTATAAGTAACTTGAGCAGTGCAAGATTTGCCGAAGAGTGTGGACCCCCTACTCATGCATCGACACTTGATAAATTGTTCGCTTGGGAAAAGAAACTTTACTTGGAAGTCAAGGTATGTTTTGTACTTAGCCCGGTTGTGCATTTTTTCGGTGGGTTTTGAATGATACTTGGAATAGCTCTGGTGATCAATTGTGTAACTGACCTTGATATGGAATGTTTGGGTGTTTTGTAAACAGGAGGCGGAGGCTCTTAGAGTAGAGTTAGAGAGGAAGTTTTATTTGTATAGGAGTCAGGATGCAAAGAATGAAGACCCTGCCATCATTGACAAAACCCGCTCGTCTATTAAAACCCTCCAAACTCGTATGGCCGTAGCTGTTCACGCTGTAGAGAGCGCTGCACAGCAGGTGCAGAGGCTAAGGGACGTAGAATTATATCCACAGCTTGTGGACTTACTGGATGGGTGAGTAACCTGTTTTATCTTAGTCTTTACTAGTGCACAAAGTGCACCACATCTTCAACTTTCATCGTCATCTTGTTTCAGACTATATCAACGATTCGTTGACTCGGACCAGTAAAGTTCGAAATTTAGATTGAACCTGAACTTTTCAGATGTGTTTTCATTATTCAGCTTGAGAATGGTGATTTTGATTTCAACGTTGTCTTTAATACTTGTAAAGTGTTACTAATAATCTTATCGTATTTATACAGGTTGGGAACCATGTGGAAGAATATGTCTCAAGCACACCAAGCTCAGTTACGAGCAGTAGAGACTATGAGAAGGTTAGATAATTCTGCTGCCTGTGAACCAACTACAAGTTTTCATCGCCAGGCAACCCTCAATCTGGAACAAGCACTAAACAAGTATGTCTTGGTTTTCCATTATTGATGCTGATCTTCCTATATACTAATTGCATTATTTATTTATTTATTTATTTTGAAAGCTACTCTTTTATATGTCCATTGCTTTTTAACATGACTCTGATCTCTTGCATTTTTTTTTGGATTGTAATGAACGTCTTCTTAATCTCCTTCTTAATAAATCCTTCAGATGCGTTATGGTCAGGGACGATGTGAGCAAAGAACAGAAGAGGACGTTTACGTGCTGCTGATACTAATTGAGGTATATTTGTTGCAGGTGGTCAGAAGGTGTGTCGAGATTTGTAAATTCGCACAAAGAGTATTTGAAGAATTTGACATTATGGTTAAAACTGACTTTACAGCAATCTTCGAATGATGAAGGAGACAGTCGGAGTGGGTCAAGATCACCCTCACGATCTCCAAGGTCTTCTTCTTCAGAAGGTATGATTGGAAGCTCTATTTATGATCTTTGCCAACGTTGGGAAGAAGCGTTAGCGCTGTTACCCCATCAAGTCGTGTTGGAGGGCATAGGATCATTTTCATCGGTGGTGCGTGAGATGTTGAGACTACAATGGGAAGAGCTGCGAATAAAGAAAAGAGTTGAAAATTACCAAAAGGATCTGGAGAGGCGAGAGCTAGCTCTGCACACAGTTGCTTCGAAAGATCCAGGTCCAGGATTTCACGATGGAAGCAGGTCCCAAACTTTAACATTGAGGTCCCCCACGACTACTTCTGGTAGTGATGCGGATGATGGGCGTTTCGACATGGTCGTAAGCTCAGGCTTTTCAGAACGAAGTGAAGTCGCTGAGAAGCGACTCAAATTCGAAGCTGCGAGGAGGAAGTATGAAGCTGAGCTTGAAGCTGAAAGGAAAGCCTACACAGATACTCGAGCTTTTACCCTCAGCAGTTTGCAGTCTGGTTTGCCACAGCTCTTTCAAGCTGTTACTACCTTTGCTAACAGTGAAGCCGACATCTATGACCAATTGAGTACGGCGCATTCCTTACTCAATAAGTAATCTTCCTGTTTTTCTTCCTCAACAGAAGGTCCTTATTAAGGTTCGGCTTCCATCAGAGACTATCTAAGGGACAATGCCAAATGCATTTTTTAGACCCTTGGAGGACACGGTTCAGCAGTTATTTTTTTCAATAGCTTAGTTTTACAGATGCTGCTGCTGTACTCATTACTCGATTTTAGGTCCCTGCCTTCGCGTGAATTTTTAAGTTAGCGCTAAGGCCAGGTGATTATAGTCTGCGAGATGTATATCACTGTCACTCTAAGCTCAAGAGGAATAAACAGTTCCATTGTCGGATGTAACACAGTTCTATCTTAAGGCTTCATCATATGCACAGTTCTAATTGGGTGTCCAAGTTGGTCCAAGTTTTATAAAACTTAGTCTGCATCTCTCACAGCCAATTTGAAGCAAGTTTTTTGCCTGTTGGATAAGCCCTTCTGTGTACAATGCAAGCTCATTTTCCCTTTCTCTATCAAACATGCTCACATGTCGTGAAATTGAAATTTCCTGTCAAGTCCGTCAGTGGGTTCACCGATGATTCAATCCTGGGCCTTCGATTGTCCAACCAACCTCGCATATTTCTTCGGAGATTTTGGTATAATGTAATCTGATTTATCTTTTCGTGCTGAAAGGATTAACTGAATTCTCTCGATGTTCAAGACTCTAGAGAGTGGTACTCGGGCGAACCAACGTTTTGCAACCTTGACATTCCCTGAAATCACCACCTAACTAAAACTGCTAGGTTCTGTAAGTCTACTGTTTTTCCTCTATCTTTATTTTATCGAACTATCTTATCGAACTGGGGGAGAATTCTTTTCCAGTTTTTTAGAGCCTACTAATAGTAAAAGGTAGGAAAATATTAAATAGATTCAAGTTTTTACTAAATTGGCCTACCCATGATAAAGAATATGGTAATCATGACAAAGGTGATTGGTTTTTATAGTTTTTGGATCAAGTATTGGAGAAATGAATGTAGAGGTTATCATTAATTCATGATGAAAGTACACATTAAACAAATAAATTAAGAAACCAAAAAGAAACCAAAAAGAAAAATGTAGTATGAATCTTCAGCAAAATGGACAAGATTGAATTCTCGGAGAAGCCAGTGAGTACTCTCAGAGAAGCAGAGAGTGGCTCATACAACGATGTGGAAACCCACAACATCAGAACGAACGGATCATTCATTCTACAGGATCATGGAGTGCGGCATGAATATCATGCTGCCAGTTCCAGCACATGTCGATAGTCGGATCAGACTCACAGCACTGTTTCTAGATGCGTTTCTAGGGATGAAAATGACCCAGTTCGACAGATAGTTTATATTTCCACACCATAGTGACATGGTGTGTCTTAAAGTAGTTCATGCAAAGCGCCGTCATTCTGGTCTAGTTGGGCACTTTTGTTGGCAAGTTGTGGGAACAGTAGCGTCGTTGCACGTGAGACCTTCAACAGAACACGATTGATTCATCGTTGGCTGGGTGGGATTGTCCACAAGGTTCGGGTGAAGTGTTTGACGAATCACTCACAAGTGGGTAGACCTTCTCGGTGTCTCCGAGTGTTGCACACTCACGAAGTCTCCGAACTTCGATCCTCGTTTTGACTTGTTGATATTGGTTTTCCTTTTCTAATATAGGACTGGCTCTGGAATCAAAGTTCAGGATGCCTGCAGGCTGCCATGGGTGATGAAAACCTGTGGAGCCAGTCATGCGGCGGTGGAATCAGTCGGTTCGACTGGACACATCAGCTTCTCGCACAACTCGAATGTGTCTAGTTAACGCTTTGTCGATTCTGAGGTAGTTGTGTATATCCAGAGGTACTTCTTGCACTGGTTTTACCAAAACTGACATCAGACTAATGTATGCCACGCTTGAAAGGCTTTGCGCAATCACATCCCAAGTTAATTCTTCCAAACAGAATGTGATCGCCGCAGGTTTCTGTGTCCAGCAGCTTATGCTCGAAGAAGCATTTAGCGTTTCGACGAGCAGCCACAGTAGGTGTTTCTTCTCCCTTCCTTTGATTATACCCAACGGAAGCATTGCCACTCTCCTGGCAGCTCTTCGTCGGACATGCGATGCCCGGTAATGGATTCACCTGTTCCAGGCGAAACATGCTTCACAGAAGCCTCCTTGAAGCGTTCGATGCGATACAGAATCTCTACGCGGAGCTTCCTCCTAGGATGATCATTTACTCAGTAAACATACTCGCGCTGCTCAGTGTAGAATACGCTGTTCCTGGAGCTGGTTTATGCACAAGAGCTTGATCGATGGACTGGCTGAATAATTGTGGAGCTCGTGAGTTGTTCTCTAATGGATTGACACGATCTCGTGTGCAGGAGCAGCGATGCAAAACATCGTTTCCAGCCCCACATCGACAACCTCCTCGGTAGAATGCTTCGCATCTCCCAACTTGTCTATTTTTAATAAACCATATTGGATGAGAACGTGCCAATGAGATCTTATTCATCCATTGACATTGAAAGCGCTGTTCACACCCTTAGAGACCGGGGACCGGTAACCTGGATGACGAGGAGCGGCCCTTTGAAATGTCGGGTGACTGGTTGGCGGCTCCTCGGGCGACGAGTGGAGCGGGCGGGTCGAGTTGAGCCCGCCCGGCCGCACCGAGCTCCTCCCAATCTGGCTTCCCACCCGGTTCGGCCCCAACCGGACCTGCCCCGAGAAGCGCGGGCAGACTGACTATGGAGGTGGCCAGAATGCCAGAGCAGTCTCTTGGTCGCTCTCTCTCTGTTTCTCTCGTACATTGCGCGGCATCATGCGTCTATACATCTATCTTGTGTCGCCAGTGGTCGTTTGTAGTAGTAGCAGTAGTAGTAAATCGTTGCCTGATTCTCGTTTCATGGCTGCGCTGGGGCACACAACGTCATCGTTCGCAATTTCGAGTGGACTGCCGTTTTGCAGTTGAAAACTATTTAGCGGTACCTTTTTTTTTTTTTTTTTTTTTTTTTTTTTTTGCGTTTTGTTTTGTTTTGTGATTGGCTGCTGCGAGATGGGACTGTTCATGGAGTTTATGGCGCGCCGAAGCAACTCGTTGCTGATGTTCGCATTCTCTGATGAATAAATGTAGAGTCAATTCTGTCGACTCTGTTGTGGTGGTGTTGATGAGTTCAGAGTCGAGTTTGAGCATTTGTTTGAAAATGGGATTTGGTGTTTGAAGTGATGGAGCTCTGGAGATGGTGTGTGTTGGTGTTGTTTTTTACTTTTATTTTTTAAACACGAACCCTAAGGTCAGCGCAATTCTGAGCTTGAGACTTTGGTGATGGAGTGTGTGAGTCGGTTTTTTGAGAATCTGAGTGGCTTTGGCATTTTTGGCGCTGGAGGATGATGCTAGCTAGGGTTCTCTTTGGACCTCCATACGATTCGTGTTCAGTGTGATCGATAGCGTTGTGTTGGATCATTCAGTGGCACTTCTGTTGGCAATTAGATTTTGCATGTTATGGATATCTGTAAAAATTAGGCGAATCTGTGTTGTGCATTTGGAGCTAAGGAGGGATAGCTGGCTGAAAATCCGGCTGGGTTAGTGTGGCTGATCACCTGCCTAGATTTTTCAGCAACCAAGGGATGTGTAGTTTGTAGGCTCGAGGTCTTGAGAATGGCTGGACATTAGTATGATTTCCCCTTAACTCGACTATCTGTAGGTTTGTATCTTAGATTGTTGCAGGGTACAGCGTAGTGAGTGAGGTGAATGGGGCCTCGCCAGGATTATTGACTTCACGGCGGCGTAGTGCAGAGGAAAAGTCTAAATTAGGCATTCGCATCGCAGTTTATGCCAGATTACGAGCTGATTCGACATGTGGAAAGTTCCTGTCGGGGTTTTTATCTTCTACCGGGTCGGATGTTCTCGTTCAATTAGACCGCATCTTTTGCCTTAGCTATTGTATGCAGTTACAGTTTTATATTTTTTTGTTTAAAAGCTTATGTATTTATTTATCTCTTTTTTAAATTAGCGAGGTATTGCAAGTAGAGGTCGAGGAGCTGCAGCAAGAGATCTTGAAGCATTCTTGCGGTCAGGTTCAAAAGGTCGGGGCTACTTTGTCTTTTTCGTGTTTTGCCACGCAGAACCCGTGAAAAAATTTCAATCTCTTCTGTAGCCTTGTGAGCTTGTCTCACGAAGGGGCATTTAAGCGAGAGAAGATCGGTACACGACATTTAAGTCTGGATTCACTAGCTTATGCGGTTTGTTAGAAAATTTGTTAGATGTATCCTAGTAAGGAAGAACCGCTGGATGAGAATTGGATTCTATCAAACCTGGGAAGTCCGCACCCACAAACTACGATGTGGTCGGAGTAGTGAATTACATACTAGCAGAAAGAACGACGGTGTCTGATTGTGTGCGTGTAACAAAGGTCAAGTAAGCAAGATGTAGAGAGTAGACCTTGATTGACTATAGTGTTAGTAAAGATTGACATTCTTACTCGTGAAGGAAGGCACACTTTTGTGACGTTGACGTTTGAGGGCATGTTATTCGTAACCTGATTTAAGTTGAGGCTTAATTGCGTCGCTGGTGGATACGCATGTGTGTTCAAAGTCATGATTGAGGTCTAGAACTTACAAGATAATATGAATCTGAAAGCTTTGTACGTCTAGAATAACCTTATCTGATGAATGGGATACACAACGTTGTGGTTTCAGGTTCTTTCTTAACAGTGGGTTCAGTATCTATAGGTCTAAGGTTCGACTAACCACTTGCTTGCCCTACGTTGGTGTTGCAGGCTTGTAGCAGTGATGTTGGCACTGTAGAGCAATCGTGATTCTTGGATATGGGCGATTTTAGACACATTTGGAAGTTCAAGTCAAAAAGCCGAGCAGGCACAGGTCGTTTTTGTTGATGTGGAGACGTTCAGCAGATTCGCAAGGCTTTAACGCTCACTCCAGTAGTTGCAGGGGTGACTGCGTTATCTAGGCAAGTTGGAAGAAAAGAATCTGGACAAATGTAGAGTTGCTTATTAAGACCCTGAACAGAAAAAAATTCTTGTCCGCGGGTTGGAATGGAATGAAATCAGGATTGTTTTGGTATACTGCCAGTGTACAGGAGTGTGGGTGAGGGGATGGTCGCTTGGTGGGTCATAAAAGATTATGGCTGTCAGAGAGTATCAACACTGGAATGCACATTTCCAGCTCATTTCTTTTTCAAAGAAAAGATTTAAGGCAGACATTCGGTGGCGAAACATATTGTTCAAGCGGAGTTTGATTGATGAGAGCTCAACGTAGTGTAGTTTAAAAGATCATTACTGCCACTTTTCAAGTAAATCTGGTTATTGAAGAATGACTTCGACTTATCTAATCAGTGCTTTTATTACCTGAAGGTATACTTATTCTGTGATGGGAAGAATGTAGGCAGAGTCTCGTCGAGCTCCAAAAATCATCTTCCCTAAATTAGGTGTGATGTCTTAAGAGTTGGAGTTTCTTAGAAAGAATGGCCAGGTACAATGGTCCAGCAGCTATGGATATGCGTCAACATTTGAGCACCAATCACACTCCCCACCCTTCACAACAATATGGCTCCCAGGTGATTAACAACAGTGAGAAGCTGCTTTCTTCATTGGTCTATCCTAGAACATTAGCATCCATCGATTTGAGCACTTTAAATCACTTCTCTTCTAATAGTACTACTGACTTTGTGTCTTGTTTTTTTTTTAAATTCTTTTTAAAAACGAAATTCTCAGAAATCTTTCGGGGGCTATGCGGGTTCAGCCACTCTGATTCCCCCTTCTCAATCGCAGTCAATGCCACCTAAAGCGTTGATCAATGGGGGGCAAGTTTCAGCAGATGAGTGGCCGGGCACAACGATCGCAGGAGTTGGCACACCCAGCACTCAGCAGGCACTAGTCCTGCAGAGTCCCCGAGGACAAGGTTCTTCTGAGCAGGGAGCTCTTCAATCCAAACAACATTTTGTTTATGAAGGAAGGGTAGCTTCTGGCTCACAAGTTTTGCAGGCAATAGGTAGCAATCAATACCAAGCAGCGTTGAGTACGAGCCAGCTATCGGGAGGTTCTGAAGGGGTTAAACAAGATGCGTTCCAATCGTATTTTAACGAGGTTGCTCAAGATGTTACTCCTAGATCACCTCAGGTTCGAGTATGTTATCCACAGGGTGATGTGCAACCCATGGATATCACTGCGGTGAAATCTGAATATCCTGATCTGAAGCGCGTGAAGCGTGAATATACTCTCATTGAAGGAGAGAGAGGAGAATATACACAGGGTTCGTTGAATCCAGCGGTGTTACTTCGATCCTCTCAAGAATCACCCCATCAAGAAGGAAGTTTTCAGGCACCGGCATCCTCTGACCAATTATCAGGTTTAGACAGGGCGCCAACCAGCAGCCAACATTCTGGGCTTGAAGGAGATATCAAACCTAATTATGGTGTACCTCATGAACTGGTGGTAAAGTCCGAGTCAGGAAATTATCAATCCGCAGAAATTAGCAGCCCATGCTCAACTTACACCACTGGTAAACTTCTGGCACTTGGCCTTGCAAGTATGTAGTAAATTTTTCCCTCTGTGTTCCGCCTTGTCGACGTTAACTGTTTCGTTGTGCATAAATTTTGGGATAGGGCAAGCTAGTGTATCGCAATCTAGTCAAGAGCATGGGCAGCAAAGTCAAAATCACACACACACAAATCTTCAAGGGGCTCAACAGTTCATGCAGCAAAATAATTTTCAAGGTCACCAGTCGCTTCAGCCTCTTCGAAACGTGGGCTCGATGCAAGCAGGGAATTTTCAGGGTGTTCTTCAATCTGTGGGTGGGGTTTCACAACAACCCAATTCCGTGGGGCAAAGTAATGCGAATCATTTAGCACAACTTCAACGTTCACCATCTCAACAATCCATTATGCAAATGTCATCCGTCAGTCAATTATCACCCCTCCAGTCTCAGGTCTGTATTCTTTCAATGAAAGCTGAGCGAGAATGTGTGTTGCTGAATGTCAGTTAAACTCAGTGAGAGCAGTCATGTGATTTGGTATGGTTTGTGTAGGAGCTTTCAGATGGTGTAGAGTGTTCTCAAATTAAAACTGCAGAATTCATTTGTTTACTTGCTTTCCTATTTTTATTCTCCCTGTTTTCCGAAAGTTTCGGTTCATTTTCAACGTAAGGTTCTCCGGTGCTTGTTCTTCTCTATATTTAGCCATGAAAGTATGCATGTTTATTTTATATTGTGCTGCTGCTAAGTTTTCTGAGGCCATGACTTATTGTGATCAGCAAGTTCAAGCCCAAGCCCTAGCTCAAGGAATGTTAGAGGCACATGCACAATCAGCCAACCAGCACACTACCCTGCAGCATGCGGTAGCTAGTCAAAGAGGCATCGTGCAAGCTCGTCACGCTCAAGGAGTAAGTCCTCAACAGCAGCTCTTGTTATATTCTGGACAGCAACAGCAGTTTCAGTCGGGTCAAGCACAAGCATTGCAGGTGAGGTGCATGTGGTCATGAAGCTCATAGTTTACAACTGCGTTCTATTGAGATAATTTGGAGGTTTAGCTTGATCGTATTTAAGATTCAGTAGGTTGATTGTCGGTTGTTTTTCTTAAATAGTTCTGCGCTGCACCTGTTCACTCTTCTGTAGGAAATTCATCATGAGTCAAAGTAGTATTTTTGTCCATACAAAGACTTCAATTTGAATTCGTCGCTCTCATTGTAGTCTTATTGTTATATTTTCCTTATCCCTTTATGTCTAATTTGTTTATGTCTTTCAATGAGTATTGTTTCATTGTTTGAATTTATAATGTCTTTTGTGATTTTGGTAGATGACAAATGGTTTGCCATTGGCTGGAGCTGCACAACAAATGATTTCCCGAATGCAACCAGCAGTACAAAACCAGCTTCTTCAGAGGCTTAAGCTTGGGAACCGGCACCTCATCCAAGGCCCGGTGCTAGGACTTGGAAACTTTAAAGGCGGAAACCTGGATAATAAATACAGAATTCGTATGCCACCAAGAGCTGCTTCAAAATGTTATCACATAATCATGCTGTACATTCATGAGCAAAGAAAACGTCTTCCTGTAAGGGTTTTAGCTTGGGTGGTGTGGTAAAGAGTTTTTTTTAATACAATGTTGACTAAGTGTTGATCGCACGATTTTTTTTCGTCTAGTGATTATATCGTAGGATGACATTGTACTTGAAGGTGTTTATTGTTTACAGCCGGTGTTCTGTTAATTGCCTACATTAGTCACATATGGTTCAATGTTCTGACTAGTGCTATCTTCCAACTTCTAATTGTTATGGTTTTTGCTACAGGATAACAACATCGCTTTTTGGCATAAACTCGTACATACATTTTTTGAACCTGGAGCTTTAAAGCGCTGGTGCTTAGGCAGTTACAATACTTCTCCTGTTGGTCGCCATGCTCAGGGCCTCTTCCCTATGGTATATCTCTTCATCTACATTTCTCTGACGGGCAATTAAAACAAGCTGAAATACATGTGTTATTTGTAATTTCTGCTTGTTTTTTAAGCATTCAAAAGGTATCTTGCTTATTGAGTAGTATTTTCTCAAGAATTCATTGATTGTGAATCCTTTGTTTTTTTTCATGTTGGAAAAGTTACAATAATTCTCATGTTCAACTTTTATTTATCCCCTTCATTGCTCAGTTTGGATTTACATTGATATATTGCATTCTGCAGGAGTTTTGGTTCTGTAATTTATGTGGTGTGCAACCTGGTAGAGGTTTTGGTGAGTATTTTCTATATCCCCTTCGTCTGTGTCATGGATTATTGAGCAAGGTTTTGAATTAGTCCACTATGCTGCAGAATGAAATGTAAAAGATTGGAATAAGTTAGCTATCTGCAAGGAGTTGATATTTTTGCGTTTGATATGAACAGAATCCTGCACAGATGTTCTGCCTCGCCTTTTTAAAATCAAATACGACAGTGGTCTGGTGGACGAGCTCCTATTTCTAGATCTAGCTGAGGAGTATGTCCATCTCTTCTGGTCTATATTTTTGGATTTGACAATGTTGATCATTTTCTGCAGGAAACTCATCCTTATCTTAAATCACATCTTAAGAAGCAAGGAAGTCAGTGAGCGTCTCAATAGATATTTTGTAATAAAGATGTATCAGTTCAACTTGTCTCATGTACGGGAATTCACGTCATAGGGGGTGCAAGGTACTTGATATTTGAAGAATGGTGTTTATCGTGAAGCTGGATCTAACATTAGTTTATGTTTTTGATGAGCCGTTCTTATCTTTTCTTTTCTTTCCTTTTTCCTTGATTTTGTTCTGTGTATGTAAGGTTTGTTTATCATGTTATGTCAATTATGTGTTCATCCATTGCCATTTTATGTTTGGCTGGACTTCGTCTGTTTCAAGTCTGAGTCTTTGTTCTAGAACCTAAACCTGAGATTCGATTCTCACGTTGCTCATCTAGGGTTTTTTTTTTGTTGAGTAGGTATGTTATGCCTTCTGGGAAAATGGTTCTCGAGTATTCAGGGGCAGTACACGAATCTGTCTTTGCTGAATTAAGGGTACGTTTTGGATTGAGCGCCTTATTCATGTGTTTTAAGATCACAGTTTATGTTACAATTTTAGTCTATTGCTTTTTGTAGTTCAAGCAACGGTAATTCACCTAGAAAAGGTTTCAGGACACTTAAGGCTGAGTTGATAATAAATAAACTATTGCTGCAGCCTGCGTGGTAACGCTATTGTTTCCATGTATTTATGCTTCTTGTGTAGTGAACCAAATATTGCTCATATATGTGATTCAAATATTGGTTTTTCACGGGTAAGTCCTTGTTTATGAAGGATGAATTGCATTTGTTTGTGTAGAAGCAGTATGGTTTTGCTGATTCAGGTTACGATGTTGCTTGACAGGTGATCAGGTATGGAACACTCCGAGTGACTTTCAGTTCCTCATATAAGGTATTTAATTTAATGCGTAGTATAGGCTTATCAAGTAGAAACTACTGTCCTAGTCACTGCATCAATGTGAAACCCTCTGAAATTGGATGAAAAGTATCAGCCGGTTCTTTTTGTTATTCTCTTATCAGAAGCTCTGTCTTTATGCTTCGGAACTCTTTGATATCTGACGTGACAACACTAATGTGCCACTTTAGATTCAAGCGTGGGAATTCTGCACAAAAACTCACGAAGAAGTAGTACCATCCAAGAATCTTCAAGAGCAGGTGTAGCATCGCAACAGAAGTAATCTATCCATCGTCTGCAGTAGCGTAGTTGCTGTGCTTATATGGAGTGTTGTGGATTTAGGATTATTAGCGGCTTATTTTATTTTATGTTATGTTATTTTATTGAGTCTTTGATGGGCTCGGATTATTAATTATTCTGAAATTCGTCGTTTAAACTTATGATCGTGTGTACAGGCACAGCTGCTAAATAACTTGGTGGCGGAGGCTGAACAGGAGGATATTAACAAGAGCGTGGAGAATCTGACGAAACATTGCAATGCGTATGTTACTTCTCTTTCTTATGTAGAAGATAACTTGACTCTTTCTTGTCTAGAAGATGACTCGATATCTTTCTGGTCGGAATTATTTTATGTTTTCCTTTTAAACAAATGATTCATGTAAATGTGGAATACCTCTACTTGAGTAAATGTATTTTGGAATGAATTTTCGCTATCGATTCCCCAACTTTTTTTCAATTAAGCACTCGGATTATGATGGATTCTATCAGTTTATTAGGCTAACTCTCAACTATGATATTACAGCTGAATGCAGGTTTGAAGTATATAGACATCAATAATCGATGAGTTTGGTTGTGCAGGTTCATGACTTCAGCAAAACAACTGGCTGTACAGCTGGACGCGCCTATGGTCAATGATCTTGGTTTTTCAAAACGCTACGTGCGCTGCTTGCAGGTATTGTCGAGAGCTGATATTTTGTGTGTGCCATTGAATTTTCAACTTTTATTCCGTAGGTTTTCGTGTCATACTTGCTGCTGGGTGATGTAATACTTTGGTCTATCTTGCTTTCCAAATAATTTTAACAGGACATGTTTGCTCTGATTACAGATTTCTGAGGTTGTGAACAGCATGAAGGACTTGATATCATTTGAAAGGAACACCCGGCTTGGACCTTTACGTATGCTACTTCAGAAGCTTTATGATCCTTAACCAGTTTTACTTGTATGGGCAGTACATGTGGAGGATCTTTGTGAGTTTTTGGTCAGTGTCCACAATTGAAGTCCATGCCCACTTGAAATAGCTGTCACTAACTGCCTGTTCTTATCTTGTTACAGAGAGCTTAGCAGAGTTTCCAAGTGCTCGGAAATTGCAGCAGCAAGGCTTGCTTACGAACCTCCCTAACCAACCCTCCCTTACACACGTCATAAATTATTTTATTCAAGGCACCCCTCGTCAACCTTTGGCTTCTTTTCAACAAGGGCTGGTCACAAGACATTCTGGTGGGCAAGTTATACTGCCTAATGGACAACAAGGTGCCTCTCAACTTCGAGGTCATCAACTTAGCCAGCTCCAACCTGGGGCTGTGGCCCAGGCTCACAGAGTTCCTAACATGTCAGAAATGGTACAATTCTCGAACCACTTGCAATCACAGCTACGGGGTCAAATTGATGCTCGGAACTTTGGTTTAACACAAGCAGGACATGCATATAGCAATCAGATGCAGCCACCTGGACCTTTGCACTTGTCTGGAAGCAGACAGGCTCATTCTGGGAATTCTGCTCCTACCAACGAGTTGCCTGGTCAATTACAGACCCAAATGAATTCATCTGGCCTCGTCCAACCACAAATCCATTCCTCTGCGCACTCCCTCTCGGGGAGTCCTGGTGGCAACGCTCATTCTTTCTCTAGGAGTCAGATAAATCTGCAGCTCAGTCACGCGCAAGCACTTTCCCAGCTCCAAGGACCGTCATCAACCAATCCAGTTTCAGCATCTGTGCTTAATGGGGATCATGCTTCAACCGACGTCAATTAGCTCTCATAGCAGGAATTTCATAACCTTCCCAAGTAACTACATCCTTACCCAGTGAGTCAGGTTTACTTGCAGCTGCATTCCCTTGAGCAGTAGCAAATAGTAAGTGGGATCAGCAGAGCTTACCCGGCACTCCTTGGAGTTAGAGTGAAGTCAGTGACCTGCGGGCAGTTGCGTAGGTTCCTCACTTGAGTTGAACGAAGATTAAGATTCCAGTTGCGTCATAATTTTTGATTACCCTTGTTATTTGTACGTTTGTGTGTGTTTAGAGGCGTTTCTGGGCTTTTACATGAGGTGATGTTCCTCAAATGCTTTTAGACCGCGACGTTCAGGTAGATGTTCGATTGGAAGAGAATTAACGGGCCAGCTTCTTGATTTGATACGGAAAGACTTCCAAGGATTAGAGTGTGCTCCAATGTATTTTGTATCACAAACTGTTTTAGGGACATCACGAGTCAAGGTCTCACCTTGAAGGTCAAGTTTTAAATTTTGTAATCTCCAATAGGGTAGGGCTCAACTTGAAGTGAAGCTAGTAATTAGTCTTTGAGACTGTATGCCTGGAAAGAGGTTTTCACTGGTTGGATTACAACTTGAACGGCTGAATTTGAAATGGTGGGTCTTCACCAGGCTCCATGTACAATATATGACTGATATTCATACGCTTCAACAAGGGTGTTGTGCTTGGCTTACGTATCTTAATGTGCGCTTTGTATGTAAACCAAATCCTGAACAGAAGCAATGCTTCATAGGGGCCAAGTTTCTGGAACTATTCAAAAGCACAATTGTTTAATCGTATGTTCAAATTGTAATAAAATCAGGAAGTATGAGATCCAAAGTAAGAGTATCCATCTTTTTTGTATTGCATGCACTTAAGTAATTTTGTAGTAAAAGTATGTTTTCATTGATTAAAATAGTTTTGTATATTAAATTTAAAAGAGTTTGTGGGCATATTTTTCATCCATCCAAAAGAATATATATGTATATATATATATATATATATATATCTTAATTCCTCCATTCAACCACTTATGCATTCATTTGACAATTGTTTGAGGATGGAAACTATTTGAATCCCACTCATTCTAATACTTATAATTGAAGTACATAAAACTAAGAACATGACTTTGCAACCCAACTTTTAGAATTTTTTAAATTATTGTGTAGTTAATAATTTTATACAATTTCTTTTAGAATGAAGAAATTATTCAGTTTATAATGAATTTGGTACTTCAACAAATATGAGATGCTTAATGAAATGTGTGAAATAATGGAAAATTGAGTGTTTGTTGAGAACCTTTAACATATCTGAGTTAATTTAATGAGTGAGTAAATACATTAGCAAATAACTAAAATGTTTAATTTCTAGATTGATTGTTTAAAAAAGAAACAATTTGTGATGGGATTTTTCATAGAGCAAATAAGTATAAAAACAACATTCAAATAAAATGTTTTTTTGAAATAATTTGTAAGTAATATATAGTTGAAAGGAAAAACATATATATGTAAACTACAATTCTATTGCATACTTTACAAACATGTACAAACAAACAAACAAACAATAAATAAAATTTTATTTTTCTTCAAAAAACTTGTGAAAATATTTTGGAACTTTATTCTTAAAATTTCCAAGTAAATGGCATTGATGTTTGATTTCAAATATACCATTATTTTATTCTCTATCATAGACACGAGTGTTATAAATATATGCAAAAATATGTCCAATTTTCTATACAAAACTCTAGGTCATATCTACACTCATTTATATTTAGAGATTTAGAAAAATCTTTAAAATAAAGGCATTGCTAATGCCACCAAAGTTTTTGCTACTATCACCACAACCCTATTTAACCACCTTTGTTCAATAGTTTAAACTATACTTTTTGAACAAAGTTTTCAATTGAAATAAAAAAAAAACAAACAAAAAAAAAAACAAACAAACAAACAAACAAACAAACAAACAAACCAAAAAAAAACTAAAGAAATGTGTTGAGTGGTTGGCAGATTGTGGTGGCAGTAGCAAAAACTAATTGCATTACTTACCACTACTCTTTAAAAACAAAGTATCTCCAAACCTTTTGCCTTTTGCACAAAAAAGTCATGAACCAACGTCGAAAGTAAAAGCGGCGGACTCAACTCGTCTCGTTTCTCGAAGTTATCGACGGTGTGAACGAGATCGTGCCACGTCGGACTCAAACCCCCCCCCCCCTCGACAGGCTTTGGCAGTGATGGGATTTGGCCGGTGCGCAGATTTTTGCAGCGTTTATCCGTATTCGGATGCTCAGAATTTGGAGCTTGAAATTTGGGAATCGCTTGGTTCCTTTGGGGGCGAAATACTCAATTCGAGCTTCATGTTCTACTTGACGGCCGCTTTTCGACACCAGAATCGTCGAAATCGATTAAGAATCGACTACGAGCTCATTGTTTTTTTGTTACTTTGAGGGGCTGGTGTTGTAAAAGCTGGCCGCCATCGTTGCTGTGTTCAGTTCTATCTCGCCGTTTTTTGAGGTGGGCGAGGTGATACGTTGTTTGGTATTTTGAGTGATGAATTGGGTTCCCGTTTTTTCTTTTATGGGTTTTTGTTTTCATTCCTATCACGATGATGATGATGTTGGTGATTGTTGGTGGCTGGAATTCGTTGCCAGAATTTCGTTGTGGGGTAATAATAGTGAAGAGCACCGTGTGAGTGATTGATGTTCTGTGTGTCATTTCGAGGCTCAAGTTGGAGGCTCTCATATGAATTCGACGTTACGTCTGGTGGATGTTTCGGCACCCCTTGGCTGCCGGCAATGTGCCTACTTTCATCGCAACGTCGGTGCTGGTGAGGCGAGTTGTCGAAGCGATGGCAGCATTTCCGCGAGTTTTTGTGGGTTGTCGTGGAGACAGCAGAGGGGTTTGAATGCGTGGACGCTGCGCTCAAGTTGTGCGCGAGTGGTGAAGAGACGATGGCGTGATCGCCAGACATGTGGGATTCATTGTGAACTGAAGAACGTGGCGGAGCAAGAGTGTTTGTTGGACAACGAGAGCATTCTAGCAAATCGCAAGGTGCTGCTGCATGGAGGGCAGAATGGTTCGTCCGATGGAGCGGTGGCTGAGAGTAATCTGGAAAGAGAAGCGTGGGACTTGTTGCGAGATGCGGTGGTGACCTATTGCGGGGAGCCAGTGGGCACCATTGCTGCTAATGATCCCACTGATCCCCACCCTTTGAACTATGACCAAGTGTTCATCCGTGACTTTATCCCATCCGCTATCGCATTCCTGCTCAAGGGAGAGACTGAAATTGTTCGGAATTTTCTCCTCCATACCTTGCAGCTACAGGTCTATCGTCCTCTCTTCAATCTCATATAACTGTGCACATTGTGAATTTAGTTTCCTAAAACTTTTCGATATTTGTAAGCTTGTTGGTATAGAGACTTTCAGCTTGTGCGGGTTGGGTCGGCAATGCTGCCCTAATTGCGATTGTTTTCAGGTTTTAATAGGCTTCTATTATAACTGTGTCTTACTAGCAGACTATGTGTTTTAATCAAAGAATGGATTGTCGTGCTAATTAATATAGCCTATGTTCAATAGAGCTGGGAGAAGACAGTAGACTGTTATTGCCCGGGACAAGGATTGATGCCAGCAAGTTTTAAGGTCCGAACTGTGTATCTCGATGGCGACGAAACCAAAGGGACCGAGGAGATTTTGGATCCTGACTTTGGAGAAGCAGCCATTGGTCGCGTGGCGCCTGTTGATTCTGGTAGGTGCTTGGATGTTTTTGACTGCATTGTCGAAATTATACTTAAGTCGTCTAAGACGACGAAGACGTGTAAAAGATTATAATTAAAATCTTCGTTCAGTAGTTTCAATCTCAGGTGCTAATACTGATGAGTGTGCCTTGGGCAGGGCTTTGGTGGATCATTCTGTTGCGAGCATATGGTAAGTGTACAGGCGATATCTCCCTACAGGAAAGGGTGGATGTACAGACAGGGATAAAAATGATCCTGAAGGTCTGTCTAGCAGATGGTTTCGACATGTTTCCGACTTTGCTGGTCACTGATGGCTCTTGTATGATTGATCGCCGCATGGGAATTCATGGTCACCCCCTTGAGATTCAGGTTCGTCAACCAATACGTAGAGAATCATACCCCCAAAAAAATGCTTTTGCTCGTTTTCTCGTTTCTGTAGAAGGCTCAAATTTCTTTTTTTTATTATTTTTGAAAAAATTGCATTTTTAGGTGGGACTTACGGACGGATTCTCAAAGAACTGGATTGAAGCACTGGTATTGTGGTGTTGAATTTTACCATGTTGCCTTTCCATGCAGGCCCTGTTTTACCAAGCTTTGCGATGTGCCCGGGAAATTCTCGTGCCAGAAGATGGGGCAGGAGATCTGATCCGGCAAATCAACGCGAGGCTGGCTGCACTATCTTTTCACATCCAAGAATACTATTGGTTAGATATAAGCAAGGTGAATGAGATTTACCGCTACAAGACCGAGGAGTATTCCACCGAAGCTGTTAATAAGTTCAATATATATCCAGAGCAGGTATCACAGTGGCTTCTCGACTGGATGCCTGAGACTGGAGGCTATTTTATCGGAAATCTGCAACCTGCACACATGGACTTTCGGTGGTTTGCTCTCGGTAATATGTGGTCAATCTGTAGTGGTCTAGCTACCGAGAATCAGGCTGAAGATATCTTGAAACTTGTCGAGTCGAAGTGGGATGACCTTATTGCAACTATGCCAATGAAGATCTGTTTTCCAGCTCTTACAGAAGACGAGTGGCGCATCATCACCGGAGCTGACCCTAAGAACACGTAAGAATACATTGACCTTCCATTCGTTTTTTGAAAGCGCTGATCTAGTGCTATATGTTTGAAAACGGAGCGCACGAAAGTAACGTCCACTTATGAACTTCAAATTTTTATATGCAGAGCTTGGTCTTACCACAACGGAGGGTCATGGCCTACTCTTCTGTGGCAGTTCACGACGGCGTGCATAAAGATGAACCGTCCAGATCTCGCAGAGAGGGCCATTGAAATTGCAGAGAAGCGTCTGTCACGAGACAGGTGGCCTGAATATTATGACACAAAGAAGGGCCGGTTTATCGGGAAGCAGGCACGACTTTATCAGACTTGGTCAATTGCTGGGTACCTCACCTCGAAACTGCTGTCGAAGAATCCCGATGCTGCTAATTGGCTCACTTGCGAAGAAGACGATCACTATGCTATCCTCCTAGAAGCAAATCCGAATTTGAAGCGCAAGTTCAAAGCCTCACCAAACATTTTTGTTGTATAGTTGAAGGCACCGAACGCTCATGTATGCGTACACCAATTAATTTTAGAGAGGACTTTTTTCTTCAGTCACAGACGCCTCAGAGGCTAAGTTATGTAGCATTATTTTGCACAGATATGCTCAGCTGGTTCCATAATACCGTGATCGTAGATATCATTCCAAATCAACAGAGACTCTGGTTGTACACCCATTTGCATGGGTTGATTCTCTTCTCAATTAGGGCAGTTTCAGACTGTTCTTTTCAGTTTCGTTCTTCAAAGCCAACCGAAGAAATTTGTTTAGGTCAAGTATTGCAGCTATAGAAGATTGCGGAGCATGAAATTGAGACAGTATTTTAGGGCCAACAAATTCAGCTGCTGAGTTTTGAATCTATTCATGGGAAATTTACCAGCAATGAACAGATACTCGAATGACATGTAAAGTTGAGTCGTTTGCAAAGTGAAGACTGTCGCTGTATTTGAAATATTAACAATCCAACTGCTCCAGCTTAAGTAACATGGCACTAAAGTTTTATCATGTAATGATCTCTAGATTCACACTTATACAGTAAGTTGATGAATCTCGATTTAAATTAGTTTAGCAGTTGACTAAAGAAACTTCCAAATTGACTGCCACGCAGTAAGGAGTTCTAATCGCAAATGAGAAAACGCAAAACAAAGGCCACACAAGACATACAATGACATCTCTCAAGATGAACCATATAGTCTGAACTCTTAACGGGAACATGATGCAAATACAGGGCACCGAAGCTCGTGATGAGAGGCTCGATCAGAAAAAATGTTGCATTTTCTACACATACTTCCTGCACTAAAAGGCTATTATACAACCTCCCCTAAAAAGCTATGCTCTTTATCTTTGGCTTCTTTTTTTCTTAAAACCCTCCCCCCAACATCCGAACCTCTAACTTAAGAGAGAAACAAAATAAATTACACCCTCCTGTGCTCATCGGCTCTCAAACGCTTAAAATCTCAACCCTGTATAAAATCTGTTCAATCAAGCTGATTCAGATTCTGGCACTTCTAATTCTAAATGTTTGTTGACTTGATCCGATATATGTTCGCAAAACAGCCGATTGGTAGAACAGGTAGGCACCAGTACAATTATGGATAGGATCTGTGAAGCGAGCGGGCAGCACACAGGAATTTAGTAGGTGACCTATGAGGATACAATGTGGCGCTCTCTGATCTTTCGGCGCCCTTTTGTGGGACATGCATTTCTAAACCTACAACCACAGAAAATCTGCAGTTGAGAAACTACCCTAACAGCATTTCAATCCACCTCCAAAAATGGAAAAGTAAGAAGAACTAACACCCTAATCCTCTCTACGAGGAGGGAAGATAATTTTCAGCTGCCTAAGAATCATTTCAAAGCTTGTGAATGTTATCACTGCAGCAGGAGTGGTTCGCATCAAGTTGGTTGCATATCCAAGGTAAAATCCTCGTATTCCTTCATGAGCCGTTATTTTCTTAATGCAATCGACGACTCCGGTATACCGCAGTTTTTCAAGCCTCGCAACGCCTTGTTCTTGTAGTCTCGACCGAACAACCTCATGTGGGTATGTGATAGTAGATGCAATGACCTTGGCTGCAGATGTAGCCATTGCCACCTGACCTACAGGTAGTTTGTCTACTGTAGTGCCTTCTCTCAGAGCCAGCTGATTCTTCAGAAACTCAAACAAAGGGAACTGAATGGCAACATGGCTTATACCCGCTAGAGCCGGCACCACTCCGCTGTAAAGACCTCGAGCACCCTCCTCACGAAAAATTCGATGAAGGGCTGATGCCACACCTTTATAAGGAATCAGATCAGGTCTCAAACTTTGTGTTTGAATCCTGGTTTTCACAACCCATAGTGGATTTGTAACTAAAATAGTGGTTGCCCCTGCACCTGCCGAAGCCAACATATTCGCACCTACTGAAAGCTTCGGCGGATGTGCATACGCGCCTCCCTTGCCGACAACTCCTCCATTCTTCCGCGCTTCCCGTGCCTGAAGCATACCTTTCAGCTGCTCATACACGGTGAAATATACAGCCCAGTTGACAAGTAGAGCAACCATGGTGGAGGAGAAACCACAATATAGCCCTTTCACCCCCTCCTTCTTGAATATTGTACCCAAATGCCCTAAAACCATCATGCCGTTGATGTTCTCGTAGCCCATCCGATTCACTTGCAACCGAGTTTTGACCACATCCAATGGGCACACAAAAGTCGCTGCCAGCATCCCTGCTCCCGCTCCCGCGGCCGCAGTGATGAATTTGTTCCTCCGGTCCTCTCGAGCAATCGCAAGAGCAACGGAGTTATGTGTCTTCTTAGCCATCTTGGGTGCTCAGCGAACCAAAAAAACAAAAACAAGAACAAAACAAAATGCACTAATTACTCTTGTTCATGACCTGACCTAGGAACCACTGAAAGTTCCATCATATAGAAGGTGATTTCATGAAGCTATTTGGAGGCAGCCCCCAACCCTCAGGGGTTTGGGGTGTAGCCCTGCAAGATTGCAGAGTCTACCCAAATTAGTCCAAAAGTCACCAGATGAGCAAATGCCTGAGGAAAACGAATCAAAAAGGATAACACACATGAGGGGAGCCGTCATTCAATTAGAATCCTTCACCACCATTTCTAATACGGTCGAATTAGGGATTGCAAGGAAGAAGTGACCCAGCCTAATCTATCCTCAAACAAACTTGCTGACGAATTTGGACACGAACACGAGATTCTTCCTATCCGTAAGTACTGCGTGAGACTCCCCCGTCGCTGTATCACTGCGAAGGAGAAGTCAGCACGGATAAAAACCAGAGCACTTGGGTCCAAGCAGGGAAGGAAGCCAATACCTTCCCTGCTTCCAAGTCACTCGCAGTACCGCTAAAAATTATGGTTCGAAGGCTGAAAAACAATCAACTGCGTCCCGAAAAGAGTGAAGAATCACTCTAACGTTGCAACAGCAGAGCCTGCGTCTTGATATCGAAGACCAATGAGAAACTTGACATGGACACGGCGGAATAGAAGAAGAGAAGAATCGATAGAATGCTTGAAAGGGTCGCAGGGAAGCCGAACGAGCAAAGAATCCGAGGCGCGGCGTGGCGTGGAAGAATCTGTCGTGGGGAATCGACTTGGGCTGAATCAGAAGCTCACTACACCTCCAAATGAGCTGCCTCAAGGAACACCCCGCATGAATGTCGAGATGACCAGGTGAACAAATTCCCATATTCCTATTTTTAGCTTGCGCGCCGGGTATGGGTGGTTCGCAGGGCGTCAATAGTTTCCTCCCTTCACACACGACAATTCTATTCAAGTTCACCATTTCGGTAATACACACAACTCTGTGGGGACGAAGTTACCCGCGTGGGAATGAGCATTTGTGCAGGCACAGCGCCCGTCGATCTTTTCAATCCGTTACCCTTACCACGCAATCGTTCCAACATTAGTCTATATTTCTCAACAGCTTAATTCACTTCAAAGGTTAGCTCCACGGCACTGTACTTCTCCATCTGGTGGACAGCAGTGTCTAAAATTGGGAGTCATACTTGCACTCGAGATAAAGATCACATTTCCACAATTAATTCGCTCATGGCAGCTTGCAGTCTTTAGACTGAGACTCAAATATTAGACTAGTTAACCCTCGAAATAGAACCAGCAATCCAAATTGACCCTGATGATTGCTCGTCGTCCTGAAATAGGTGATGAAATACAACAAATTTTCATCGACCGGACTGTAGCTCGAGTTTTCTCTCAATCGGTATTGTGATGGAGGTTCAGCACAGTGCTTCTCGGACAGTCTCGGACAGCGGTAGGTTTCTACCCTGTGGAGGATGCAGTGATCATCTCTACTCACCCACAAACCAACTGAAAAATGATAGGTACTGTTGTGGAAACTGGCCCTAAACTATCTATGGGGCTCATGGTCAACAAATTGAAGTAGCGATTAATGCAGCGATACTTTTCATGTGAAATCTACGAGAAGCGTAGGAGAATATCGCTTGCTGCACGATTACAACTTCAGACAATGCATGTGGTTGAAGTGTGGATCTTTTAGCAACAACAGTTCGACCATCATCACATCATCGAATCTACAGCCCGCACGAAAACCAACGGGCAAGTGAATGAGAGAATTCGAAGTGGAAAAATCGAGTAGGAAACTCAATGTTACCAGAAAAGATTCAAACGTCCTCTTGCTGTATATTAACAATGTAAAAATACACACGTCATCACTAGAGAAGCAATGACAAGTACACAAATCAGTTGTGCACTGAAATGGAATTTACAGGTCCACTCAGGGAAAGAGCTGGCGGCCATTTTGAAATCAGTATTCTAGATTCCTGTCAACGTAAGGAACCACTAAACCATTTGAATATGAAACAGTAATTAAACGTCGCTAACCGCACAGTTGCCGTCGATTGCACAAATGGCCCAATCGGACGAAGGCGTGAGCCCTACTTCTCGAATTGACTTTCGTACTATCAGCTACACCTCAATTTGTACAAAGAGTTACAATTAGCTACCATGCCTCCTTGACCCTGATAAAAATAAAAATAAAAAACCATTCATTCATCACTAACTTCAGTACCTCCAATCACCGATCTGGTGTCTCGCAGACGCTTCTCTCACATGAGAACAAAAACTGCAAAGAAACGTCATGTCTTCAAGATCGGTGAAAACAGGACCAAACATATCCATTCTCAGAGTCATAATTCTTGCGATTGAAGAAAAATCCATTCACACACTTCACAAATTAACTGTCTGCGAGCAACCATCTCGATCGATCCCTTTCCGATTGCACTCCTCCCAGAAACACCGACAGTCTACGACGGGACGTCACTTGAACGAGCAATGGCGACGCCCATCGCAAGCAACGCAATTCTCGTCACAACCGCTCGACAGCAACCTCTTCTCGATTCCAGCAACAAACCCAAATCTCTCGTCCCTTGCCGAGATGGCTTCCAACGAATCCTTCCGCCGTTAGCTTCCATGAAGCAAACCCTAAACACACCGAAGCGATTACGCCGCGTTTCCCGTGTCAACGCACCGATGAACAATGAGATGAACAATAGTGGATGGTAAAGTGAATGTTTGACATTCGTTCGATTCCCAGGTTGTCGTGTTTATGTTTTAAAAACAAATAAAATAAAAAACATGTTTCTTAGAGGCACGTGCACGTGTGACAAGTCCTACTCGTGTGAATAGAGTCCCGTTCCCAAGTCCGAGAACCTCGCAGCACAGCGGTCGCGGACTTTGTTCCATCTGTAATTCGCTTGATCGATTTGTAATCGCCACGACAGTTTTACGTGGAATTCGACGCACACTTAATGCGTGTAATTTCTGTTGAACCCTAAAACCTTAAAAAAAAACTATTGAAGGGTATTTTTGTTCACTATTACTCTTTATAAATTTCTTTTTCTCAGTCTTTTCTTAATTCTTCTATTTTCATATCATTTTTTTTTGGTGTGATTTCTAACGTAATATTCCTTATTAAAAAAAAAAAAACTTATTTTTATTTGATGACCCATTTTTTATTGAGTTTATTCTTTATGACCATTTCTTATATTTGATTCATCATGCATCACATGATTTGGAAATTCACTGAAATTTCGTGCAGTCTATTTTTTAAAAAATATTGAGTTCGAAGATAGCATACCAAAGATACAGAATTCAATAAAATGTTTAAAAAATAAATGTAAAAAACAAAAATAAAACGAAATCTTAACTATCACACTCTCTGAGAAGAAAAGAAAAAAAAATGACAATATAATTATTATTTAAAATTTTCTCTGTATATTCTTATATTATATCAGTACTTTTTTATTTAATATATACCTCGAGTATAATTATATGTTTATTGTTTGATAATTTCTTTCGTCTCCTTTATACTCTAATCATACAAAAAGGAATTTGTGTTTAATCATGTTAATAATTGTTTTATTATTGTGCGTGTTCTATATTTTATATCAATTTTGATGTTCTGAAATTAAGGAGGGGATGATTTATTACAAGAACAATATAAAGTATAATATACATTTTTAATTTGCAAACATTTGTGTGAGTATTACATATACAATATTAGACGTATAAATATGTCATACAGTTATCATTAATCTATGAATGATACCTTGCTTAGAACATAATTTATTGTTGTTAACATTTAAGAGTTTGGAAATTGTGGCATAAAACCAATCAAACAAAATTGTATAAATATTAAACCATAGTTTCCTTAGTATTGATGTTCTATTACTATCTTCTACTACATCAAAAAAGAATAATAATTCAACAGAATTCTAAACTTTGTGAATGTAGCATTGTAACATCTTAGAAACTAATTGCCATGAAGAATTTGCTGCAGATTTATCATCTTCAAAGAAAATCATGTAACTTCATAATTGCAAAATAATACTCCTTATAAAAATAAAAATAAATTATTTATTACAAACAACTTCAAATCGTGTGTTCTTTAAAAATATGAATTGTTTATGGATACAAACTACTTTACTACATATTATATCCTTTAAATTTTACTAATCTAGCTGTTATTATATGATTTAAAAATTTGCTTTAAAGTTGTGTTTTCCGTTTCTAACCTCACATAATTCTGAGATTGGAATTTATTGCTAATAAAAATCACAACTAAATGAAAAATAGTTATTTTTGTATTATGAATTTTTGTATAAGATTTTTATTTTTATATATAACAAATAACAAGTTTAAATAAGAAATAATTTTTTATACATTTTTAGTTTGTATAGGTATAAAACATAATTTGCATATTACACAAACTTTTAGATTTTTATAAGTTTATTGAAATAATAATAATAATAATTCATGTGCTTCAATGAAAGTAAGAAACAATACTTAGAATATAACCTATGTGTATTTGGCATTAATACTACAAAATTATTTATTAATTTCATTTATTTAAAAGCAAGTTTATCCATATCATTTAGAAGTTTTAAATCCATAGTACTTGATATCTATATTTTGTTATTTTTAGTATAAACTAAAAACACTAAATTTTAATCCAAGTTTACATTTAGTGATTTTTAAAAATGCAAATTTTAATGGTTGATAAAACCATAAAACCTTTAGATTGGCTAAGTATCTAAGTGACACATATGAGATTTTATTATTTTTCACAAACTATGATTCTTAGAGTAATTAATTGATAACAATTAGATTAACTTGTTTAAATATCTAATAGTAGATTTGAAATAAAAACATTATAGATAAACATTAATTATTTCAGATATTACATTGATAATAGCCCACTTTTGTGTTTCAATCAAATTTAATATAAGTGTAGAAGTCAATGATCTTAAATATAATTTGGTATTAAAAATTATAATAATGACAATGATAATAAATTGTTGCACTCTACTTTAATTTTTTTTAAAGTAAAATTGTAAAGACAAGTTTTATTTCAGTAACAACCCATCTAAGCTTAGACATAAATTAAGAGATATTGTATAACTTATTTTGTTTTCTACAAAAGCACATGTATCATTACATTTACCATAAAATAAAAGCAAAAATGACATAATTAATATAATATGTTTTATTATATTATTTATTAATTTGAACTTATTTTTCAATGAAATATTAATTATTATCTTAGCTCATTTATACTTTTGTAACATAGACCATATTTCGAATTATGTATATAAATATATTTACATATCATGTTTTGATTTTTATCTATTTTTTTTACTATTGTTTTATTAATTTATTTTGTATTAAACTATATATATATATATATATATATATATATATATATATATTGTATTTCAAAATTCGTTACAAAATATCCAAATAGTGAAGGTATTTAAGTTTATATTAGTAGGACAATATACACAAAAGAATCATTTATGAGCTTGTAAACAGTTGTTAGATAATTGATCTCTCACGTAGTACAATTTTTTTGAATTCACACATTGCCAGAAAGAATTAAAATCATGTAGATGTAAAAATATTTAACTTTCTTATGTTATCCAATGCATTTGAACATTCAAGTTTACACATTCATTTATAAACATAGTATTCATTTTTGTAAAGTTTGTAATGTATTTCAAAATTGAACCAATAACTTTGATAATATTTTAATAGAGATGGGAGTTTTGAAATTAGCATGATTTGGTAGTTTTGCGTTTAGTATTTCTTTCCCTTCAATTTTCTATGTTACTTTCAAACTAACTTACAAAATGTAATTAAATTCATTAATATAATATTTTTTTTAGGATAGTCCTAGAAACTTTCTTTAACATTTATAAATATTTCCTACAATATCCTTAATATCTTCTTAAATTTTTTCAATTCCAATTTTTTTTTTAATTGCATTCAAACATTTATACATAATTATTTGTTTTGAAGATTTCTTATCTATATCACAAAAACCACCATGCAACTTTAAATAATAATAAAATCAACAGGTATGCCTTACATAAATATGTCATGTTGACGTACTTTTCGAATTTGTCATTCTGTTGATAACACATAGAACATCAGTTTAATGATGTTGACAGTTGATGAATTTAATTGATTTCCAAATAATTATATCAAATCACAATAAATTGTTTAGCAGCCTACCAACGTGATCTAACACTTATTAATAAATTGCATTGTTACAATGCTTTCAAACGTTCTATAACACTTGTTTTGTAAATGTGAATAAAGTGATTGTCTTCTTATTTCAGTACATTCATTAACATCTTTACATTTATTTATTGTTGTTTTCCAATCATATATTCATTATTTCTTCTGTGTATTATTATTTTTTTTCTCAAAGCATGCATTTGATTATGGAAACAACATTAAAATATAGAATTTACAATTCACTTCTATAAATCCTGGTTTTATTTATTTTTTGTTTTTTTAGTCATTTGACTACAGGCACCACAGTCTGATAGGTTTGTTTTGTTGCTTACTTCGTACACAACATGAAGAAAATAAAATAAAAAATAAATAAAACACTTTGATGCTCGTTTTGGTGAGAGGTTGGCTATAATTCAATCTAAGTCACTTGGGTTCAGATGGCAATTAGAAATAATTATATCTGTATATCAGTTTCACAACGATGTTAGTTCTTTTTAGAAATTCATAAATCTAATAATAAATTGAAATGCTTTTTTATTTTAAAATATCCATTAATTTGCAAATTCTGAACAATGATTTTGGGGGAAGCATGTACAAAAAAGTTGGATCTTTGTTTAAATAAATTAATAAATAAATAACTAATTCTGACACAAAAGAATTAAACATTTTGAATCACCTATTTATTTCAGCAAAATAATACTCAAACATGACAAATATAATGATGTACACATGTTTTGATTTTTCTTATTTGTAACATGATATATGTCATCTCAACAACAACATCTTCATTAACAGCAGTGTTACACATACAACCACAATTTTGGTGATATTTACCATTTTAATATGTGAAAAAGATTAAATTTAAATTACCACCAAACAATGATGCCAAAAGAGAGCTTAATTGCCTTAAGATATTTTGAACCCCACAAATGTAAAACTCACCATTACTAGCATTTATGGGACAAGACTCTGTGAATAAAAACACAAAACAAAACAATCAAAACTCGTCATTGACCCACAAAAGCCATAAACCCACTAGAATCAAAAGGACGGTGGAATTTGGATTTGACAGATCCAAACATATTTCTCCAGCAAAGCAGTCATTAATGTCATTTCTGGCTTCATGTTTCTAACACCAAACACTTCTTTTCTATGCCGAAAAAAAATAAAATCCCACTTTTCTACGTAAGAAAAAGAAGGCACAACTGTTAGTAAATTGAGGTACAGATTTGGTTCCCAGGCCACAAATCTGCACACAGTGCATGGCTTCAGTACCCCCAATAATAGAATTATTGACCTTGAGAAGGTCCAGAGTAAGCGTAAGGCATATACCCGACATGGCAGCGAGCGAGGATGACACCCTCGACCTCCGGGCACCAGAGGGGTATCGATGCCAGCAAGGTCGGGTCGGGTCGATCCGGGTCTCGCAAGGCAGGGTTTGGGGAAGGGGGGGGGGTGAGCTTGTGCTGAGCTGGCTAATGGTCTTGTGCCTGCTTCTGCTCCTGGCTACTCTCGGAATGCAGCAGCAGCAGCACAGTAAGGAAGGAAGGAAGGAAGGAAGGAAGGAAGGGCTCTTGAATGATCTCGGGTGCCCTGCCCTGGCCTGGCCACAAGCAAGCAATCAAGACAGGCCAAGACAGGGCCGGGCCGGGCTGGGTCGGGCGAGGGTGGACTGGGTTTATACTGCTGCTGGACCCGGGATCAATATTGTAGCTGGGCGACGAAAAGTGGTGCTCGTGCGGTAAAATATTCATGGCACGCAGACGAATCCTGCGAAATTTGAATACCACACACGGAGTCAAAGCAGCAGTCACGACGGCTTGCTTAAACATTTTAATGTGTTGTATAATGGTATACAAAGTGTATATACATTTGTATAATTAAATAATTGTATATGAGTATGTAGTGTTTGGGAATTTGTTGAGTGGATGTGGGAAAGGATTGATTGAAAGAGAGCGGCATTGGTTCTGCGAGGGGAGTGTGGGATGACAGCAGGTGCGATGCAGTTGACGCCTCCAAAGTGGCAGTGCGAGCCCAAGATTGGAGGGAGAAGGGAGAGGGTAAGAAAGAGAGGGACACGATGACGACGGAAGTGTGAATTCGAGTTACGGAACAGGGGGCGGAAATTCGGTAAATCATCTTGGCTCTGCTGCTCGCTGGCTGGCTGGCTGGCTGGCTGGCTCCCTGGGTTCGCTGTGCGAGAGGAGAGGGGGGAGATGCGATGATGGTGATGATGATGCTACCTGCGAGGCTGGTCTGGTCCGGTCCCGTCCCGTGAGGAGCGGAGGAGTAAGGCCGCCTGCGTTGAACAAGTAGGCAAAACTGGAATAAGGAACGAAGCGACAGAGAAATTGAATCACATTCCCATCCAGTCAGCATGCCATTTGCTGCTACCACTATTCGATAGTCGCTCGGTCAGCCAACCCACCAGCCCGTTCAATTGAACCCTCCTCAGGAGAGATTGCAATTGAATCCAGAGAAGCAATTGAGTCCCCAAAATAATCAAGCGGCCCCCTGAGGTTGGGGATTTTTATTTTTTATTTTTATTTGGGAAGGTTGGCGAGGGAGGCAGCGTTGGATGCAGTAGTACCGTAGTTGGGGGGCATTGGGGTGATTGATGGCATCATCGTCATCATGTAGTTGGGTTGGGTTGGGATAGTTCAATTGGGTTGGGGTAGTATTCCTAAGATTATATTCCCACTGGCCTGGTTCATTCTCCAAAATGGACGACGACAGCGACTCGTGTGGGATGCTAAAAGGCAGCTGTAGTGCGAGTTCTCCACCTGACCCTCTCAGCGGCAATATTAGTGTAGTAGCGCTTGTTTCCATGCCAACGGGATCATTTACGGCACCGGGGATGTCGAATAGGACGAGGCGTTTCGGTGCTCTAGGTCAGGTATGCAAATCTCCCCCACCGCCCCCCACCCCCTGCACGCAACGTGAGACTCCCCTCTTCCAGTCGTTGATCGATGGGGTGAAAACGCAAGGGTTGCTTGAAGGTAGCTTTAAATGTTTTCGAGGGTTTGTTTTTTATACTTTTTTGTGTGTCTGTTCTTGGGTTTGTGGGTGTGGGGTCGAATTTGGGGATGGGCTTGGAGAGAGGGAGGGAGCGCGCAGCCTAAAGGCGATTATTGTCGGCCTAAGGTGCAAGTGAAGTCTGTTGGAAGGTGCAAGAGGGGGGGGGGTGTTGGGTAGTGTAGTGCTCTTGCTGGAGGACATGGAAAGTTGAATTTAATTTTAGGATTCACGCGTGGGATTTGGGTTCGCCTGTATAGAGATTGTAGGGCCCCTTTTTCTTATTTACTTTTGTCTGCTCGTCTGTATGAGGGTTTGTGCATATGCTTGGGTTGTTGTTTGTGTCTGCGAGGGGGAGGTCACCCAGGTGAGAGGATGTAGCGAGAAGGATGATGGTTAGGACGGTCTAATTGGGTGTAATGATAAATTGGTTCCTTCTTCCGCTACCTTGTGCATTGTAAGGGGATGCTTATGATAGGTCGAGCGGACAAGTAAGCAGCGGTGTCAAATATCAGGGCATAGAAGATCGAAGTCTGAGCAAATCGCAGGCTGTAACGCTGCTGCATTCATCATTTAAAATTTATTTGATTGCATTTGCACGTGCTTCGGTGGTTTTCGTTGAGTGTTGTACGAGTAGATTTTTTTTTACATGTGTGAGGTAAGCTTTTTTTATACTGTGCTAGAAGTTGAAGCTGTTTAGCACACATGGATTGTTTTACGGCGGGCAATTTCAAGTTTTTAATGCCTTGCGCTGATAATCGCTTGCCATAGTGGCGGGAGTGATTGCTGTATTGACATGGGAGTCTCACATCGCACTCGTGCTCCCCTACCTGATATCTAGGCGATGACACCCAGTCTCGTCATCTGAAGCTGAGAATGGATTGTAGGGCATGTTTGCTGGAAAAGGAGATTTGAGATAGACGCGGAGCTGTTCAGTAAGTGATCACCTCCCACATTGCGCAGTACACGAGTTCCAGCATGATTTCTCCGGTTAGCGCATTCAGTCTGCATCTTCGTTAAGATCAATGTCTCACGACACAGGCAATGATTTCTGATATATATTTAGGGTTTTCTATTTCCACAACCGTTAGTAAGAGGGACTGACATGAAGATACAGGAGTGCCACATTTTCTCAAGGATGTCAGGTTTTAGGTTTTACGATGTCGTTGCAATAGCTGGAATTGTTTTGTGTTGACCCTACTTCATCCTTGCGTGAGTTGGTGCTCAAGGACTGAGCTTCGTTTACATACAACTAAACTGCTTTTCCCTTGTGATTTCTGCTATCATATGAGGACATCGTCCTTTTTTCCTTGGAAATGGAGCAGTGATTTGTACCTTTCGTTTTCTCTTCCTTGACTCGGTTCTTGAATTGCTTTTTACCTGTGATCTGTTTCTTACAGGTGCCAGTTTACGAGGAGTGAAGTATGGAACTTGTTGACAGGAGACGTCTATCTCCTGATGATCATAACTTGAAAAGAAGAATGAAGACACCAGTACAGCTAGAAGCTTTGGAGAGGGTGTTCGCAGGTTTAAATATAGCAGTTCTCTGATACTTTGTATTATATCTCTAGAATTATGCAGTTTTTCTCTAGGACGTGGTAGAGTCTGTTATATATGTAGGTTATATACTTTGATGTTATCCGTTTCTTCTTGCGTCGTCCTATATTCAGTAGTTGAAAGGGTTCCTGTCTAACTCGACGCCGTGTGACAGAGGACCGGTACCCTGCAGAGGCAGTTCGGGCGGAGCTCTCCACTCAGCTTAATTTATCTGACAAGCAGCTACAGATGTGGTTCTGTCACCGACGTTTGAAAGACAGGAAAGGGAAAGACGAAGATAGTACAAACGTCAATGCGAATGTTAACGCCAATGCTAACGTGGCTCGGAAAAAGCCAAGAACTGAAAAGCAGAATATGACGCAGTATCCCGGAGCTGTTCTTGCCTCAGAACCTGGTGGTGCTGCGGTGCTCCCTCGTGACCAATTTGCGGAGGAATATCAATACGAAAACTCAGAAAGGTTCACCCCAGAGGTGAGAAGGTGTTGCACTTCTGTTCCTGACATTGCTAGGGTAAAAATGTTGCTTACACTTCGGTTGTCTGTTTTTAGGACACTGTCTATACTGATCTCTTCTCATTCTTGGATTGCTTTTGAGGCACTCAAAGGCCTTCAATCTCTTATTACTAATTTACCAAAAATTGTTGAGCTTCAGCAGGAGCTGAAGCCACGCTCCAGGAAATCTGGTCCAAGGGATGGTTCATTTCCTGGCAAAAGAAGGAATCAGGCCCTCTCTGCTAGGGTGGCCAAGGCAGAGGCGGCTGCTATAGCTGCAGTTGAGGCGCAGTTGGGGGAGCCCCTTAGAGAAGTTGGTCCTCCTCTGGGACTGGAATTTGATCCTCTCCCTCCCGGTGCCTTTACTACACATGGTATCGACCATGCAACTCTATCCTTAAGTGTACCTTGTTGCTATCAATGATGCATTTTTTTTTTTTTTTTCCCTTCTCTTTTCTCTTTTCTTTTCTCCTAAAGCCATTTGTAACTTTTTACTTTCTCAGTCGAGGAAATGCCTGCGGAGCCCAGACCTGCCATGGAGCAAGAGCAGCACTTTCCAACTGAGAGATTGTACGAGACTCCAGAGGCGCAAAACAACACGATGTTTGAACCGGTACTGCTTCCCGACTCATCTTGTCCGTACGTTCTAGGGGTTTGTCAGAGTAGATGAGCCGAGTTTTTAATTTTTTTTAAAACCTTTCTGTCTAGTCGTGACTTATGACTGACACAAGTACTGCATACAGTCTGCAACCCTGGGCCTGGCCACCATGCCCAATCTAGGAGGAACTAAGCGGAAGTCTATGGGACCCCCATCTACTGATCCCCATCCTCTCCATTATGAATCCCGTCCTGTCAGAGAATACCAGTTCTTACCCGAACAGCCAGAACGCTTGGAAGAAAATCAGTATTTCGAAAGACCAACACCGCTGAATTTATTTCCAGCCCCTGAGAGAACTACTTTGGAACTGCTGCAACAGTCGAGGGTTTGTATTTTAAACTCATTTAACATAAGTCTTTCTTCTTGGAAAAAGTTTCTCGCCGCTGGAGATTAGGACTGAATGGGTTCGATTGAAAATAGCCAGCTGTGTTGATGATACTGGATACGGGAATTTCTGATGAAGCAACTTGTATCATGTTCAGTTGGAGGAGGTCAGGTTACAAAAAGAGTACGAGCTTCATGAGAAAAAATTACGAAAGGAGTTTGAAAAACAAGAGGTTCTCAGGAGGAAGGTAATTTTGGCTCCACCATGCTTTGACTTATCCTACTACTGTATTAGTGATTTAAATTGTCCCCCCCCCCCCCCCCGTCATCTCTTTCATCAATCCTAGGACCTGGCTGTATTAGCTTCAAAAGTATTGATATTATACAGTTGGTATCGGAAACCATTGACCGTGGTATGTAATCTTTTTAAAGGTTACGCGGCTTGGCCTTGGTAGGTTCTATGTGATTGGGTATCCTACAATGAAGTCTTTGTTTTCTAATGTGGATTTTACTCATGAACAGCGAGAAGAACAAGTACGGAAAGAGCAAGACAGACTAGAAAAAGAGAGGTTGAGAGAAGAAGAGAGACTTCGTCGCGACAGGCTAAAAGAACAGGAGCGTATTCAGCGAGAACAAAAGAGGGAAGCTGAGCGCCTGGAGAAGGAAAGCAAAAGGGTATGTTTGAACTAAGAATATCTAATGCATGCATTTGGATGTACTGGTAGGTATTGAAAAGATTTTCTCTGTGATGCCATGTATCTTGGAATTTTGATCCATTGAAGTTTGTTATGATACTTTTTCTCGCAAGGAAGAGAATGCGATTGTAATTAAATATGGCGGGAACGTTTATTTCTGATGCTTAGATGGAAAAGCAGCGACGTCGGGAAGAAGCACGCAAAGAGAAACAAGCTGCTAAGTTAAAGGCTGCCAACGAAAGAGCTCTTGCCAAGAGGCTAGCGAAAGACATGACGGACCTCATGGATGATGAGGAATTGGAGCGAATGGAAGCGTCTGCAGCTGCGTCTTCTCTGAATCTAGCATTCTTTGCGCCCTTTGGGAAGAATGGGATGGACACCTCTCAGGGTACAATTATTCATTCTTCTTATTCTTGCCGTGACCATCTTCCTGGTAGAGAGAAGGTAGCTATTAAATTGCAGCATCAAGGATGACCATGATCACAGGTGCATAAAAAAAGTATTGATGAGGTTGGCTGTGAATGTATGCAGTTGTGCTCAAGCCCTTCCCACCTCCTAATGTCCGGATGAAGCCTGTAGTGGCAATCCAGCCCTGGTCCAACTCTGATCAGAATATCGGAAACCTACTACTGGTAGTGTCGCAACCCACTGGCATGTGATGGTAATGTCAGTCTCATTTATTTTCATAATAGATATGTTTGAAACGCTCGAATACTACGCCGGAGAATCTGAATTTGGCTGATGTTTACGGCGTGCAGGTGTGGAGGTTTTTGACAACCTTTGCGGATGTTGTTGGATTGTGGCCATTCACACTGGATGAGCTTGTTCAAGCATATCATGATTATGTACGTGATCTGTTTCACTACAGTCGTGTTGCTTCTTAAACTTGTGTTATAGATCAATGGGAACCTTAAGCTCTGCTATTTATGCGGTTTTTGTTTAGGCCTATTCGTAACTTTGCGAAGTAAGAATTCTATCTCTCTGCTCCTTGATGAAATTATACTGCACTTCCCCGTAGTTACATGAGATACCTCTGTGTTTCTTTCTACTTGAAATTAGTTAGCTTGACATGTTTTCATGCTGTGTCTTATTTTCAGGATTCTAGATTACTTGGAGAGATACATGTTGCGCTTTTAAAAACATTGGTTAGAGATATTGAGGAAGCAGCGCAGGCAGTTTCTGGTGGTATGGTTGGTCAACGGGATGCAATTGCTATGGCCGCGGGTGGCCACCCCCAACTTGTCGAGGCTGTGAGTTGATATTCACATTTTTGCGTTTGAATCAAGCGATGGTTGAGAACAAGCTTTTCCTGCAATAAAATTCCATGTTTTTGTGAATTCCGCTATTGTTGCTGTGAAGTCAAAGATGCCTCCTGCACTGTCTTAATTAACTTGAAATATTTATTCTTGACCTGTGGTTTCTATGCAGGCGTTTGCATGGGGCTTCGACATCAGGGAATGGGGAAAGCACGTGAATCCTCTAACTTGGCCAGAAATTCTGCGGCAGTTTGCTTTGGCTGCCGGTTTTGGACCTAAGTGGAAGAAACGGAAGGTTTTACCTGATCGGTCGAAAGAAGTTCCAGCTGAGGTGTGTCAATTGTAGATCTTAACCGCATTTATAGGGGAGCTTGATGATTTGTTTTTGGACGTTAGAGTCTCATTGCAACTTAAGCCTTCTTTGTTTACATGCATTTTTATGTGTGTGTACAGGGAGAGGACGGAGAGGATATTGTGGCCAAACTTCGATCTGGTGCGGCAGCTGTTAATGCAGTTGCGTCTATGCAAGGCAGAGGGATGGGTCATTTACGCCGCTCCCAATACAGGTTGACCCCTGGGACAGTGAAGTATGCTGCTTTTCATGTTCTATCTCTTGAAGGCGAGAAGGGCCTAAACATTGCTCAGGTGGCGGATCGTATTCAGGTACAAATACGAACCCTAACACGTATCCTATTAGTTTCACTTATCTATAGGTATTGCAGTTGTTACCTTGTGCTCAATGTACACAATTGCAGACACCTGATTGGTCATCTTTCATTGAAGCCATGACTGAACGGTGCATCGTTTTGTGGTTGTCACAGACATCTGGATTGCGCGACCTGAGTAGCAGTAGAACTCCAGAGGCATCCATAGCTGCTGCTCTCTCACGCGACACTGTCCTGTTTGAGCGAACTGCACCTTCGACGTACTGTGTACGACCTCAATTTCGCAAAGATTCTGAGGATGCTGAAGAGATCTTAAGTGCTGCAAGGGAGAGAATTAGACTTTTCCGAAGTGGTCTTGTTGATGGAGAAGCTGACAAAGACGTTGATGAAGCGGATAGAGAGGAGTATGAATCTGAAGGGCAGGATGTCGACGATGTAGAGGTATAAGCGCCTTTGTCTAATGGAGGATACAAGTTTTATTGGTTCCAAATTACGTGCCTTAGGTTTTAAGGTTGTTTTAGGCCAATGTTTTATCAAATTGTAAGTTGATACTAAGCTATATATGTATGTTACCTTATGTTTGAATCTGAGCGAGTGGTTTTTTTGGCTATCGCTAGGACCTGGAAGAGGAGGATTTGGAGGATGGTGTTCCAGGTTCTAGTGAAAAGAAAGGTGATGTGAAGACTGAAGATGCGAAAGATGAATCTGATTCGAAAGAGACTAAAACTGTGACAACGTCGCAACAGAAAATACATCCGAGCTCTGAGCTCAGCGAGGGAGCTAATAATGGATTGTCAAAAGCTAAAGCAGTAAGTGTATCTTCTAAGCGAGAAATAGATGACGAAGAGGATGAGGAAGAGGAAGAAGAGGAACACAACTTGGGGAAGGATGACAGTCTGCAGGAGGACCAAAAGACTGGGATCCAACTTGAAGAAGAAACCGAAATTGATGAGAGTCAGGTGAGACGTAAACTGATGTATGCTCTATTTTAGGTTTCGTTTATGGTAACTTCACTCGAGGTAACTTTGTACTTGGTTTACTTGGAGAGTCCGTGCCTTAACACAAGATCATTGCTACTTCAATCGTTGAATTTTATGAACTTGCTGGAGAAAAGCTAATCGTAGCCCCACCAATTGAAGGGATTTTTCTGACTTCGACTCTTTCGCAGGTCGGAGAGCCGTGGGTGCAGGGTCTTGTGGAAGGAGAGTACGCAGATCTCAGCGTTGAAGAACGATTGAATGCGTTGGTGGCATTAGTTACTGTTGTCAATGAAGGCAATGCTATTCGTATTGCTCTCGAGGTAAACCCTGAACTTCAACGAGTTTTTTATTTCGTAAAACTTCCGTAGTTCATGTGAAGCATAAAATGCCATTTCATAAAATGCCATTTCATGCTATATGCCCTTTATGGCCTGTACATGATCGTATATGTATTATCCCTAGTTGCCTGTGCACGAGAAACTTAATTGTGATCCTTTTTTTCTACACAGGAGAGGCTTGAGGCAGCCACTGCTCTGAAGAGACAGATGTGGGCAGAAATGCAATTAGAGAAAAGGCGTCACAAAGAGGAATTGTTATCTAGATCTCATTTTTCACTCCTCCCTGGTACCATCAAAACTGATGGTGAAAGTCCTGATCCAGAGCATATGACATCGGGAACCTTAGCACTGTATGATCATGGACAGCTGGATATGAACATGCCGAACACCGACGGTACTGGATATATAGAAGCCTTTGCCGGAAATGGGAAATCCTTCAATGAACTTTCTAATGGCGTAGTTGCACATGAAGCTGGTCCCTCCGCAGGTGCAGTTTCAGGTAATCATTTGGCAGAGAAGTCCCGCGCACAGGCGAAGGCAGATATTGGTCTTCGGGCTGAAGAGCTCTACGTGTTCCGATCGCAACCATTAGGATCCGACAGAAGACATAATCGTTATTGGCAGTTTGTCACTGGCAATGGCGGTCAGGATCCAGGATGTGGGCGACTCTTCTTTGAATCCAATTCTGATGGCTGCTGGGGCGTTATTGATACAGAAGAGGTAAAGTTTGAATTCGTTGTCTACAAGGAAGGCACTGCTGATCTTGGCAAAATTCTTTGTTGATTGGTGTTACTTGTCAATTGTTCAATCGCCACATACTCCTCATCAGTGCGGTTTGTGTAACATGAGCAGGCGTTTGATGTACTATTAGCATCACTAGATCCAAGGGGTGCCAGAGAAGCCGCACTTACTGCCATTCTCAACAGATTAGAAGGTACTTTACGGCAAGGTATGAGGTTGAAGGCTTCTGACACGGCAAATTCTTCACCTATCAAGGGGTCTACCACCATCCCCAATAAGCATCCTGGTTTGAAAGGTACAACTATTGTTATTTTTGTTTGCAGTTACTGCATCTTTGTGTATCCTTTCAGTTCTGGATGCATATTATCCTCTTGCTAATCACATTTCTGATTTGTGCCGGAATTTTAGGAATTGAAGAAAGTCCAGTGAGCAGTATTTCAGGTTCTGAGAGTGATTCTCCAGCAGTTCTGAGTGCCATTTCTGTGGAGCTGGGAAAAACTTCCAGGGAACAAAAGCAGGCACTTGAGCGCTACAAGGAGGCAGAGAAATGGATCTGGTCAGAGTGTTCGACAGGTGGTTCCGCACTAAAAGCAACAAAGGCTGGTCTGCGAAGAGAGGCGCGTGTGTTGGTTGTTTGTGATGTGTGCCATGAGTTGTATACAAGCAAAGACAAGCATTGCCAGTGTTGCCATGCGACTTTTGACAAATCATCTTCACCAAGAGTGTTCTCAGAACACACTCGGGATTGTGAGGAAAAAAGACGCAAGTGTGATCCGAATTGGAAACTGCAGGGACCTGTTGCTTCTATGCCGTCTCGTCTTCAGCTTCTGAAGACAGAAATTATAAAGATTGAGGTTCGTTTGTATATTTCGTACTTTGGTTATGAGATTCATTCCATGATTGCAGAAGATGTCAATCGTAACCATCTTCTTGACGCTGTTGTCAGCTTAAGCTTTTGTATCCTCTTCCATCGTTATCATCAATATTGTCACGCGATCTGTGCTTGCAGAGTGCTATTCCTACCAAGGCGCTTAATAAGGATTGGACTGATCATCAACGCAAATTATGGGCTGCGTCTGTGAAAGCTGCAACTGAACCAAATCAGGTTCTTCAGGTACATATTTGAGTGTTGTGACCTTTATTTATTTTTTTCATATGTTCAGCATAACGACTTGGTATATTTTATGAATGTGACTCTTCTATGATAGTTTTCTGGTTGCGTAACGAGAAATCTATTGTAGCTCAGTTTTCTATTTTTGAGTTTTATTATTTTGCACCCATGGTTTCTTTCTGAATTTCTAAAGTCGAAACTTGGAGCTGGGTTGTGTCTGGCATGCTGATACATTCTTTGGTAAAGCAGGCCCTCACTATCCTGGAGAGTATGATTGAACGTGACTGGTTGTCCTCCACGTACGAAACAACAGAAGAGATTGCGAGTGCAGCTGCTGAAGCTAATGGCTTTGGAAACCAGGGCCTCATACCATTTTGGGTGCCTCCAACAACTGCAGCTGTGGCCCTTCGAATTCGCCTGCTGGATAATGCTATAGCATACAGTCAAGAAGCGAAGGAAGAGCGTGAGAAACAGGAGATTGAGGATGAGATAAATCAGAAAAATGTATATTCATTCATTCTGTTAAGTCTTTCAGTTATTGAAATTAGCCAATGCCTTTGGATTGCTCCACAGTTTCCTGGTCTTGTTAGCTGACACAATGTTTGGTGTTCATTTGATACAGACAAAGATGTCAACATTCAGATTTTCACCTGAGGGTCTACCCGGTGATCAAGAAGATGAACAACCAACTGATGTGTTGGAGACAGCTCCGAGCTTGAGTGGCAAGGGTAGGAGCCGTGTTCGTTCCAGTGGGGGTGGTAGGGTACGCGGGGGGAAGGGAAGTCAAGGTGCACAAACCGGACAAACCGGGGGTCGTCGTAGAAGCACCGTCAGTGCTGGCGGAGGATCAAAGTCCAGAGTAAGGTCTTCAAACAGTGCAACAAAGTCGGGTTTAAAACGAAAGCTTCAATTTCAAGAGGGAGCTGAAGAGGCAGCCCCTAGCGATCTCAAGCAATGGGGTGGTGCTGCTAAGGGGCGAAGTGCCAGGTCTGGTGGCAGTCGTGGTGGGAAATCCACTGCCCGTCGTTCCAGTCGAGGTCAAGCAGGCCCACGCTCTCGTGCACGTCGCGGTCAGACTGGGGCACGGAGGCTGGGACAAAAACAGAGGAATCCTAACGATTTAATGGTTCCTTCTGGTAGAAGTCAATCGAAGATAGCCAAGGCAGCGTCGGATTGCGCAGCAGCCAATCCTGACAGAGAAGACGATGACGAAATGGAGGAAGTGAGTAACGGAGGCGACTCACAAGCTGGCTATGCTGACGAAGGGTACGAGGATGGTGATCAATACGATGCTGAGGAGAACAACGATGATGGGGACGCAGAAGAACAGAATGGCTCAGATTTGGGTGAGCGTATGGAAGAAGGGGAAGAGGTGGACGAGGAACAAGCGGAGGAGGATGAAGGGGAGGAAATGGATGAGGAAGGGGAGGAAGAGCTCGAGGATGATGATGGTGATGGAGAAGGTCAGGAGGAAGATGACGGGTATGACAAAGAAGAGCCAAGAAGAAATGCTTATGAGAGAGGAGGACGAAGCAGCTATGGTAGGGCTGCTGAGGATGAGGGAGAGGGGGAAGAAGAGGGTGAGGGAGGTGGCGATGAAACGGAAGATGAGGATGATCAAGAAGAGAGGCAATCGTACAGTGATGAAGATTGACGTGCTGCTCTCTGAAAAGAATGGTAAATTAAATTCATGGTATTGACAAATTTTAAGAGAAGTAAAAGAAACGGATGGAAAATAACTTGCTTTTTTTAAAAAACTTGTGACAAGCAGTTGCTGACCGTGGGGTTGTTTGAGCAGCGGACAAATGGAAGCTATCGGACATGGGAACCAATCATTGAATGAAGTCCAATTACCATTCGTCACACTTTGGCTGGATTGTCTGCAGAAGCTTCAAAGTTTTGTGTATAGATTATTGCCTTTCTTGAGCACCTTGCTCCCCTTTTACAGTGAAGTACCATAAACTATTAGCTTTGGTTGATGCTACCTGTTGCAAGTTACTGTTCTTCTGAAGTTGTCTGTAGAATATAGCAATCCTGAAATATGATTTAGTAAGAGTCCCAATTTTGCTGTCTGACTTTAGCAGGTGTGCTACTATGGTGTCTCCTGTAAGTAACTTCTTTTGGGCCCAATAGAAGCCCTTTGGAAGCCCATTGGAAGCCCATTTGAATAGCGGTCTTCAGGGCCTTGTACATTCCCTTAATCATTTTTTTCTTCTTATGATCGTCATGCCTGCTTTGGACCACGGAAATCCTTCTCCTCTTTACTTGTTGGTTCCCATCTTTGCTATTACCGACATAAATTTTCGTAACGGATTCACACATCCAAAGAAGAGCTCGAACATTTTGCGAGCTGGGACTTATTCAGTCTTCAGCGATACAGCTTGCATGGGAGACACTACTAATCCAAACAATATATCTTAAGTTTGGACCTGAATCTATGCGATGTTTACACTCGATAGGCGATGTTGAGGGATGCAATTGGACAAGTTTGAAATGAAAATGAATTTCTTATGAAAAATAAAAAAGGGGGGGGGGGGAAAAACAGTGAAGATTAGGTGAACTTTGCTGAATAGAGCTTATAGGTAAAGTTCATAGTACAGCGAGATCGGTTTTGATCCCCGAACTAGTTTTGAGTCGGGAGAATTCGAAACCTGGGACCAATAAAAAGTCTATCTGAATCATTTTGGCCGCTGATCTCCTACGTATACCTCAAGACAATACTTTTATGCTCACGTGTTTCCAACACTATCATTGGGTAGGTCCTTCATGGCTATGTACACTCCGCCTTTTACACAATACAGATGGGTATACTATTTGGTACATAAACTGCACTTTCTACTTTATGGTCTAAACATTGTCCAGCTGGTCGCACAAAATGGATGCAGATTATCCATTGCGACAAATTCGGTGGACCTGTTAAAGTAAGTTTCAATAGATGCCCACCCAATCACGGTCCGCAGCATTTATATGAGTTCACCCAAACACAGGAAATTCACACGTCTTGTCCATCGTTCAGAGAGAGCAAGTTCATATAGCCACACAAAAATCTAAGGTCCAACCCAACAGGAACCCATTGACTATGAGCTATCAGAGCCACAAGCTTTACCTTAGGTATTCATCTGTAGATGTCCTGCATGCAGAGGAAAAAAAGGCTCCAGTCAGATGGCTCTTTTGCATAGCTGCAACCCTGCCTTAAAAGCTTTTTAGTAAGAACCGAAGATACAACAAACATCCCTGCTCTTTACAGTTATAGCCTTATCAAGTTCCAGCATCCAGGACCCACCAAACTACGGAGCACAGAGGAAGAGCTTTAAAGAACCTGGTTTCTGGAAGTACAAATAGCCCTAATTCGTGGACAATGAGCTTTCTACCCAGCAAGCCAATGAGGATCCGTCCAGTTTACTTCATTCCAGCCACCTCCAACCAACAATCTCCAAGAGTTTGAGGAGAAAGGGAACTGTCTCAAATTCAACAGGTTTTCTCGCTTCGCATAGTATGATTTCGTGAATACAGATGACATTCTAATCCAAAAACCCTTGTGCAAGCATTTTTAGGAGGTATTGAAGAATCATCTTCCCCCGAACACATGAATCGTACACGGAGAGAATATATTCCACTGCTTTTTTTAATATGGGTACCGTGGGGTGGGAGGGCATGACATGGAACAAGATGCTTTCTAGTGATTCCCATGTGTGCGCGGTGATTCTCACTCCGGTGGTGTAAAGCTTGCCTCCAACTACAGAAAAGCAAAACGTGGTATGGAGAGGAGGAATGGTCCCGCATTTTCCCCCTTCCGCCCGCCCTCCCTGCCACCCTACTGAAATAGCGCGCGAACTTCTCCGACGTGGCAAACAAGGCCGCGAACCTGCCCCACTGAACTTGGCACCTATTTTGTGGCCGCGAAGCATCTTCCACATGGCTGGCATTCTTTCGGTGGACCCTACCCACATTTGATCCGTGTCAGCATTATTACTCGATGGCTTCATCTGTTATTCCATGGATGAATATGACTTTCAATATTATTGGATGAATGAAGGGATACTCTTCATCCATCATGCACGGCTTGCACATCCTGCAATTTATTTTTCTTTTGCTTGGTTTGGAGTTTTCGAGAATTACATGTCAAGTCTGAGCGCGTTTAAATGAGCCAAGAAAGAAACACAAAAAACTTTAATGGGATACAAGCAGAGAAGCGCAAGTGGAATATTCCATAGATGTAAAATACCCACACTCGAAAACCTTCCTTACACGCGACGCTTGAGGGCAAACACTATGTAGTCTGCAAATACACGGCTTATTTAATAACCTTTTTCTTATTCCTTCTCTCATTATTGTTCTTCAGTGTTGTTGCTGTGGTTGCGCATAGTTGTTGAGATTCACTCACTTTGCGTTTCGACCACCAGGCGCTGATTTCCACTTCACAAATTTTAAGGGCGAGATACCAACATCCGACGAGATCATGTGCCATGACCTAAGAGTGTGGCCAACGCAGATGCCAGGGCCGGTGACCGTGGGATGAAGAAATTAAGATGAATGTAACTTAAATGAATGTTTTAAGATGAAGAATCCACAAAAAGTAAAAGGCATCAGAGTGGAGATTCCCATCGGTAGGTAGCCTTGGTAGCCTTACCGCGCGAAGCCGCCAAGAGGGTTTGAATAGACTGCACGAGGACAGCCTGGCGCGCCACGAAGACGGCAAGCAAGTGACGCGGCTCCAACAGCCAGTTCTGTTTTGATCCCCCTGGCACCTCCGCGATTCCTGCTGGTATGTTCTGGGGCGGAGTCACTAGTAAGTTCCCTCGAACTCGCTAGTTGGCGTCCAGGCTGGCCCTTCAAGAGACAAAGACATCGTGCACGGCCTTCATCTCGCACCCCTTCTTCTCCTTCGGCAATTCTACCTCTCGCTCGCTGATCCATGTACTCTCTTCAGTAGCTTGTGGATTGTGGTGGTTCGGAGGTCGGATTCAGCCGCGGAGGAAGGACCATGTCGCAAAGAGCCCGGTGCATCAGCGGCGGTGAATGCGCCCGGGTTGTGTCGAGCATGTGTGAGCCTGACGGTACCAAGGATGGGGTGGAGCCGGAGGAAGCTCGCTTCATTGACGGCCTGAGATTGGAGGCGCATGCTTGGGGTCATCCTTCCCTTTGACAGCGCTTGGTTTGGTACCGTCTGTCGTCTGGCTGTGTGAGGCAGAGACAAGAAGTTTTTTGCGTGTGATTGATAACAAAATTGTTGAGGGAAGGGTGAAGAAGAAGCGCAGCCGTGTGAAATAGAGTGTGTGCGTATCGAGAGTTGGCGGAGTTGCCTTGTTGGTTAGAACATGCCAACCTCGGCGGCGAAGAGCAATATGTCGGGTTCGATGGAACGGGGTGCGGGCACTATGACTGAGATCACCCATTTCGATGAGAGTCTCTCGTACACCAGTCTGCGGGACCTGTTGCCGACAAGCCGGCCTGGGAGTCCCCGACAGGGAGAGACTGGAGAAGGTGTAGAGAAAAAAGAGCCGGGGGATGACCGACCAGCTATCAAGAATAGATTGGTGGAGCGCGCAGCTCGCGCGTACTTGCGGCCAGTTAGCGATGGTCTCAGACACTCGCCCGAGCAGATGCAGTTGGGCCGCTACTGGCCTACACTCTCTTGGGAGGACCTCGCCCGCATGGTGCAGTCCTTATTCAAGCTCAAGCTAAGTACTCAGAATCATCGTCAGCGTCCACACTACGCTCTCCGTATCCGCGAACATGTGCATGTGCATCCTGTGGTGATGTGAGTGTACCAGTAGCTTAACTTACCCATCGTAAATCGCTGGCCACATCGCGTGCGAGTCGATGCGGTACTCCCCAGACGGAGTTGCTCAAATAGTTAGCTACGTGGCTTCAATGATGTCTGGGGATAGATTATGAGATGATTTATCGGTGTGACATTTAAAGAGGATGAAGATGTAGGAGTAGAATGATCCGGGAGATTATGGTTGGACTTTCACGCGAAGTTTAAGTAATGGAACCTTACCCAAATTCCTTGGTTCTCATCCAAGATGCTACCGTTCGGGTGATTTAATTCACCCAGGAGCGGCGAAGGTGAAGCTGCGAAGAATCTGATTCTTTTTATATGATCAGATTCTTGTTTCCTGATCACGATCTCCTCACTTCAAGTCTTCCGAAGATGTAAGCTCCGAACTTTAGGGGCATTGTGCGTTCTTGGGGTACATTACTTTCCCCAGGACAGAATTAGTTTCCCTACAATCATGACAAACATAGTCAGTGTTGTGGATTTGTGCACAGCCTGGATGTTGATATCAGCGCTTTTCTGAGGCTTTTCCAATAGCGTGTACAGTAAGCTTGAGTGCTGCATACATGCAGCTGAGAGAGAGGAAGAAAGCAAATTGGTAACGTTTAGGAGGAGCTACCTAGAATACACTGTCTCTTAGTTTTATGAATAGTCAAGTAGTATCCCTTAACTACTTTGCTCAAGTGTGGATTTCGTGGACATCTTTAAGTCCGGGACATGGTTGCTCGGTGTACAATCCATTATTTCATGACCAGTATACAAAGATTTGTTTCCATCATCCCTTGCCCCTCTGCATGGTATGAGCTTCGTGCATGGAAGAGTGTTCATCTCTGTCTTCGCGGTGTATCAGATGTCAACCCGAATGCATGTCACCTCGTAAGCCATAGTCTGCGAGAGTTACGTGTACTCACCGAAAGTCGCAGTTCAGTGTGCGTTGTGGGTTGAAGGTCGATTGCTTCTGGAGGTGGTTATCGCCGTAAACGACTTAACGCGTTAACATCTTGGAATTCTCCTATGGTATGTGCAAAGGACAATGCAATGGGGTCAAATAAATTTACATCATACCATTATTCTTCTATGTAAATTTATTTGACCCCGTTGCATTGTCCTTTGCACAGTCCTTTGCACACACACCCTATATGTATACATGTCCACAGCTAATTCTGGAGAAGGTGGTGAGATATAGAATCATGCAGAAATTGGCTTGCCAGCCTTGTGAAGTATGTGGTTGTCAGTCATGCAGATATATATTTTTACTAGTCTCAATTTGAACCATAGCATACAAATGACAATTATCAGCAAACCTCTGATCTACGCGTTTCAGGTCGAAAAATTGCAGTGACTAATTTGCCAAGATGCATAACATGTCATTTATATTTCTTAAACTTTGTGCATGAAACTCATGATGAGTGTTAGTCAAATATATTAAAAGTGAAAATTGCAGTGTGCTCTTAAATTGTACGGTTGAATTCAGGAATAGAATTACAGAAGACTGGCTAACAGTAGAGTGGTTTGTAGTTAGTCGAGCTTAACAAATTTTAAAACAGTGGTCTTTACAACATCAAAAGATCTATTTTCACATTCTTGTTTACATGAAATTGTTAGGTCATTTGTTTAAGATAATTTTCACAGAAGGCATTTATTAACTGCATATTGTTACCATTATTGTTACCATAGATTAAGCTTAAGAAATAGTCACCGTCAGAAATCGTTATGGTCTAGTGGACCAATATTAATTGAAATTCCACATGATATGTAATCAAATTCTTTGAAACATTCTTTGGATCCCCAACGTGATCCAATCTGCTTTGAATTGTTCAAGTCATTCCATGAAGCACAACCATGCTCATGCTGCGAAGCCAGAAAAGTGGGATAGGGTATCTCTCTCTAACAATGAACCCACGAAGATGACAATGACTGCCATTACATTGAATATACAGTATAACCCCTTGGGGGGAGGGGGGAAAAAAAGTAAAAAAGAAAAAAAGATCTGAAATACAAACTAACATACCTTTTTATTTCTACATCATGACCGGATAATCTCATCCTAATCCATACTAGTAAAGGAAGGTACCTAGATGGGCCATCAAACCACAGCACCTGATACAAGCGAAGATAGAATCCCAACCAGCCAATGATGAGATGAGGCAAGTGCTCACTTCAGAGGAAACACATTTTCAGAACTGTAAGGGATGTTGAGACTGGAGATTATCGAGGTCATCTGTCTTTTTCTCATCCAACCTGAGCATGTCGTGGCCAAGGGGTTTGATGCGGTTCCCGCGTCTGTTGAGAGGTGCTTCAAGCTCATTTGTACTGCTCACGGAATGGCTACTGCTTTTATTCAATTTCAGAAACGCAATATTTGAAGAAACCCTACTGTTGTCGAATTCTTGTGACCTGCTGAGCCCTGATATAATTTTCTTTTTTGAGATTCCACTATCCACGTCACGCAACACATCTTTGTCCTCCTGCGAAAGTTCCGGTCTAATAACACCAGCAGGCGTAGAATAGATAAGACCTTGTGTAAACTCAGGTGAGGAAAACATTCCATAAGGAGGTGGGGAAACGCTCCGATCTGAGAGTATGAACTGCTCCTGCATGGTTGTCTTGACGTGTGTCCTGGCGGGTGAGGTTTGTGGTGACCGGTCTCCACTACCAAGATTCTTGCTGTTTCTTGCCTGGCTAACTAAGTGGTGTAGCCCCACTACAAGCTCAAGCATGTAGTTTTCTACTTTCTGCTGGTCCGCATGGTGTAGCGTTTGTATAAGAGTTATCTCCACGTAGCCCATAGCTTTCCGATCTGCTGGCGTCCTGGCATTAATACAGCAACAAAAAGATTCATCATTTAGATGCATAAGACTGAATTATGCTACCACAAATCGAGAGGAAATGAAACGAGTTGACAGGAGGCAAGGACAAACATGTTTGATATTTGTATCCCAAACATGATTACCCCATGAATACAGCATTAGAGGCAAGCCCAGGAGATCTGATGAATTCAAGGGTCATCAAACATGATACTTACACTGATGAATGATACTTTTGCAATATTTCCAGTTCTCAAAAGAACGCGCAACTTTGAACACAATCGCTTCAGAGTATTACAATAAAAGTCGAACTCAAATTGAGGGACATCAACGTTCCATTACAGCGTGAAAGGAAAGTGATGTGTTTTCTTACCCTGCATTCGCCCACTCTCCGACCCATCCAAAGCCATGGTGCTTCCTGTGGCGGCCCGATTCAGATTGTTAAAAAGATCGCTGTTATTTGCAACTTGACAGGGGTTGGGCAAGACCCTCTTGGAAGAGACATCAGTACATATAATAAAAGTAGATATAGCTCGCAGCTAAATCAATTAGAAGCGAATGGCTTCGTCACAGAAATCTCCAGGTACCAGACAATCAGAAATAAAAAATGTAATTCAAATATGATTCAAGAACCACTGCATACAACTAGAAGTTCTGAGCTTTTCAAGCTTACTTTGTGGTGTTAGAAGCTACTGGAACTAGCCAGCCCAAAAGTTTAAATAATTCACTTTTAATTTCATCGACGCTCAGCTGCAATGGAACGAAACACAGAGAGTGAGTTGCTGTGATAATTACCTACAAGAACCATACAACATAAGATTCCCCTGGAATTGCGACGTTCGCACAAACTATCTAGCAAAAGAAGCTCATGGAGTTCAAGTACAGACCAAATATACATAAGAGGATGGACTGGTGCATAATTAACAAATTAACAGCAACTTCCCTTGTTCCGCTTTCTAAAGTAGAAATAAAATACTCATCCTCAACTTATGACTTTAAGGGTTTAAGTTCTACTTGTAAACGCTTGACAGAGTCGCAAGATAGAAAATTGAATCTCAGAACACGAGTATTCATCCAGAGAAGTTACTCACTTCATTCCTATTATGAGTATACTGCAGTCGATTTCTTAAACCACTTTTCACGGTCGGAGGTAATCCTTGATAAAGATTGTCTCTTGTGTTTGGGGGCACTGAGCCAGGCCTTAATACCTGCACAAAGAGATGCATGAAACAAGCTATATAAAATAGAAATGATTTCAAAAATGAAAAATAAATAACCACCATTTGACGTTTCTTGAACTTCCAATCCAGCAAAATCTTAAGTGTCAAGTAGGAATCCCACACTATATACCCTACAGGTAATCTAAAGACGTTAAACGCATACACAATGGTCCAGGGTTTACATCCTATTCGAAACCAACACTAAACTATTCAGAGTGAAAAAGCAAAAAGACACAAACCAGGTTGTCAATTTGATTGATGATATTAGCATAATGGAGGGCCAAGCCCGATGATCCCAGCTTTCCAGCATTCCTTTTTGCCTCTTCCTCAGGCGCCTCAAGAAATGCTGCGTATAGCCACACGTGTGTTATAAAATTTGCCACACGTCCTCTAGATGTGCAACCGTTTGTACTTATCTGCTAATGAAAAGCAAACTGTGCTGACCCACCAAACATATTTACTAGAAGAAGGCTGTTGAAACTTTCCAAAATGTACAGCATTTGCAGGGTTGCATAGAACAAGGTCGGATATGAACAAATACAAAAACCAAACAAATATATACCGTTAGGCCCGAAGATTGCGTAAATCTCTTGGTACAGATAATTTGCAATATCTACTAGCTGCTCCATGACCTGTGATGAAGACGTTATTTCATTAAAATAAAACTTGGTTGTGGAATTAAAATTTAAGAAGAATCTTGGTCATATTTTGAAATCAACCACGTAGACATCTTTAGTAGGAAAATCATGTTAGCATCACGAAGAATGAATGGCTGATTCATCTCCGTACTGGCTTGAAAGGTGAAGGATTAAAGGATGAACAATACCTCTTCAAGAGTCCTAGACCATAGAGAACTTCTTTTCAGTCCCTCTACTTGTTTCTTCTGATTTTTGACTTCATTTCTCACAAGAGCGACAGACTCTCCTGAACACCCAAAGACCACGACCTTGACTTCAGCTGTGTAAGAGCAACGCCTGCCAAGTCCTGTTCAAGACCTTACAGTAAACAACAATCTAGCTCTTTCATAACTTTTAAGCACCACAATTTAACTCCTAGGTCGACGAGATGGTTTTTATAAAGCAATGAACTATAATGGATGGTTACAAAATGTACAACAGACGACCTTAGACTTCCTCTCAACATAATTGAAATGAGTACGGTACACCGTATAGTTCGGACTAGTGCCAATAAGTACTTCCAACTCCACAAGCGTTACGATATTGATAACACTTAGTTGAATGTTTCAACAAGTGTACATCTTTGGTTAATCTTCACATCAAATGAATGCAACCGCTCATTGTAGTGACAACTCTAAAATAATCGCAAGGAACAAATTCTTGAGCTTTAGGCAACCAACGAGACCTGTCAGTCAATCAACTGTTTTCATAATAGTACGGCAAATGTTAGTAGAGGTGAATTGAAGCCCACCCCCATGAGAGGCAGCACCAGCAGACTCCTCTTCTTGTTGCTTACGTTTCAAGTCTGTTCGGAATCGATCAAGCGCATGAAGCTCGTGATATAGATCCTACATCCACAGGCATAGCTACTCAGATATTATTGTCCTTCTGCTTCTGGTTTCTAAGAGAATCAAAATACACTAGCCTTGTCAACTGTAGACGAAAGGACATTCCATAGCATGCTTTGCATCTGATACTCCATTACGAATAAGGCAATTCAGTCACCTCACACTCTCCTCGACTTTCGGCTCCCAATGACACTATTCCCTCCTATCCAAGCATCACGAAACTGTAATGACTTATCACCAACGAAAACTTCGCATACAGATAATAAAAAGAATAGCAACACTCATCGTAGTTTGGACTAAAACACCTTTAGTTGAAACAAGACACGCACAATATCCAAATAAACGCTTTTGTGATTCATGTGTTAGCAGAAATAGGCTTACTGCAGTGTTCTGAGAAAGATTCATCAAATTTTCCATGATTTGATCCGCCTCGTCATGCTCAACTCTTGGAATCTCCGTCTCTTTAACCAGACTGCAAGGCACTTCCACTATCTAAGTGGGAGATCTAACATTATTCAAGAAGAAGTAAAAGAAGGACATAAAGATGTAAACGGGAATCTTATCAAGTAATTCAACATGTACACTATGCCGATCACATGTTGCTAGATTTTCCTGAAGTAAGAATGCACAGAAAGATGTGCTACATGCAGTGCCTTGATCACCCAAATCATGCAACTCAGAACAAACTACGACTCAGGAATAAGGTTTTGTGCTCACCGGTCAAAGACTCGATTATAACAATGCCATCGCGGATCTTTACAATGATTGCCAAACCTTACAACTTCATCAGTATATATTTTAAGCTCATTCCTGCCAAAGGAAGTTCCAATATCAGGGACGCATCTGCTCTAACATGCAGAAAGCTGCAGGAGTCCAAGATTTCCACTACTCTGTGACACACAAGAGAGGTTGGAGGCAGCTTCACATATACTATGTCAATAAGCAAACACAACTTCAAATTCTCAATTTAGTAGGCCCACCTCTTATCAGCTGCCGCAATCGCTATGAGCACATCCTTATTGGAGCTGACTAAACGTTGAACACCTTCTGAGGGGAAAATTTCCTCCTTCAAAATTTTTATCTCCTCCGGGGCCAAAGATTGTTTCAAACTGCATCCTTTTACTATCGTATTTGCAACCTCGAAACCCAAGATGCCAATTTTAGTTCCTTTCGAAATTGCCCCAGCTCCAAACCCCTCTTTGACACCGAGATTAGCAACTGAAGTGCCAAATATATCCAATGCTCCAAGACCCATGGAGCCTGCTACTCTAATAACTTCTGAGACCTGCTCAATTACAAATTTTCCACCATAAATGAATTGATTTTGCGGTACTTATCAAAAGTCACGCAGCTCGTTGTGAAAAAAACAATAAGCTGCTTCAATTGAGCTCATCAGACCTGACAATATGCGCTACCAGGTACATTCCTCAAGAGACGAAACATATTCACTGTAATTTTATATCAAATTTATCAGTAATTTCTCAACATAATCTCGAACTAAGTTAGTCAAGAGTGGCTGATGTAAACTTTTGTACCAAGTCCATAGCTGAACTCAAAATGGGAACTGACGGGTGGAGCACGAAAACATAAGAGGACATTAATCACAAAATGCCTAAGAGCTGTGCTAGAGGAAAAGCCAGTTTCGTTCTTACACCCTTATAAGAAGAAGCAAAATGTGGAATGGGATGAAATAGTTACATACTTTCAAGGCCCCTCTCTTCGCAACAGTGGCTGTTTTCGATCTAACAGAGGTCGGTTCATCAGAAAGCACTCTTGCAAGCTTTCTCTTCTCTTCGCTGTTCCTCTCACATCCGTTAGCTCGATTGTCTCCACTACGTGACAACTCAGGTGGCCTCCTACCAAATTTTAGAAAAGACCCCTCTTGTTTTGTACGGTCGGCCTTAGTCACCTGGTGATTTCTTCCCCTTGCCGACTCCGTTCCATTTCGATTACCCTGAAAAGAACGCCATGCATGCAGAGATGGTGACGCATTTCGATGGTCATCGTGTTCGTTCGTCACCTGCTCCTGATCAGATGCCTTCGAGGACTTAACTCCCATGTTTGGATAACTCAGAACCAGGAGGAAGTGAGGAATGTACAACCACAATGGTTATGGCCAGCACAGGGCTAGCCTTTTCCTGGGAGAAAATATTAATGCTGCCGCAGATGCGGTGATGCCGAATTATTATTTCAACTGAATAGAGTTCACAAGCTTCTGATGTAGTCCCTTCCTCAATAAATCTGATCTTCGAAATCACGTCATCTTTGCTTCAATTACTGCCTGTTATCAATGCGGTTGTTCCGAGTAAAACAAGTAGCGTGCAGAGACATCCCTACGACGCCTGTAAGCGAGTGAAGCTCAGCTCTCCATACATTGACAGTATGGAAGCCTTGGACAGTTTAGACCATGAGTTGTGAACGCAGCCCAAGATAACATAACAGTATCTTCAGATCCTTTCAAGCACGAATATTATTGTGAAGTAGATGGTTCGTCATTTGCCTCTGGAATGAGAGGTTTCTGAAGAGATATCACTTCCAAGTCTATTCATATATCTGTGAAAAACCAGAGTTTCACGATTCAAAAATGTTAGACCTCAATTAAAAGGGTGATTCTGCAGAGAAGCCCCCACACATGATTCCACCATGGAAGAATCACATAAATCCTAAACAAGTTCCATACTAATGCTGTCATAATAGAACCCTTGTCAAAGTTTTTATCCTCCGTTATTCTTGTATACCTCTGATTGTCCCGAGGGAAGATTTCGTATGTTTTAAAGTCCGAGATCGGTTTAGGGAACAAGGTCATGTCCAGCTCCACCTATCTAGATGATTCATACATACTAAAGTCGCCTGAATTTTCCTAGCCATTGGTGTATCTCAGTGTGGAAGCATTAGAATAGTACGCTCGACAATTCTCTCCTACACAAGTTGCCAAAATTAGATGGCGTCGCCGAGGAAATTACCACACTGCAACGCGTACCGCATACTCGCACCCGTAGCTACTCACAATTGACCTCAGTGAAGCATCAGGCGTTCCGCTCAAAACCAAGCGATCGCAGCGACTCACACTCAAAATCTACAACATCCTCAATCCGCTATTCCTACCGACATTCTCACAAGACACGATCGATCTTCCACCTCCTTACGACCGGAAATCAGATTCTCCTACACTACCGTTCACATTACCGACTAACAAACATCACACTCCTCTTACAACCAAACACACTCTCTCACTTTCAACACCGAAGAAAAACAAAAAAGACAAACAAGAAGAAGATGAAAAACAGAAGCACGCAACAAGGTAAACTGCGTTGTCTCGGCGACGCACCCCCGAATTTCCAGATTCCAATTCAGATCGGCTTACGCTCGCACTCTTCCACCATTCGGTACTCCGACAAACCACCCGCAACTTCTACGAAAACTGAAACGGTGATGAGAAACAAACAAACGGGACGCAGGGCAGCGTGGCGAATGTTCCAGTTGACAACTGCTTTCTGGTACAAACGCTCCTAGGCAAGTAGTGTGATACCCTAGGACAGCAACTAAAATTCTTTTCATAGAAAAAAATCAAAACAAATACATATAAATAAATTACATAACACATTACATTAAAAGTGCGAGGAAAACATAACGTCAACGGAGGTGAGGCCTTGTGAGAGCCGTATCGGATGCAATGGTGAAAGGATCCACCGATTAAAGGCTTCGTCACTGACTTCGTGGGCTTGGCCGACGACGACAACGTCGAGAATTAATTCTCGTCGTCGTCGTCGTAGTCGTCGTCATCGTTTCGGTGGCAGCTAGGTCAGATCGTCAACGAGCATGACGGGGGTTGCAAGGAAGCGGAGGCGGCGGTGATGGTGACGATCGAGACCCATTCTCCGTACCCAAAGCTTGAGTCCCAATTTAAATAATAACTTTTGTCTTTTCTTGGTCTCTTACGATCTGTGTCTTCATGGATGTTTGAGAATATGGATGGATGAAATAACTAGCGTTAGCACTTATTGTTGGATGGGTGACGATTGTATTGTGTGATGGATGAATTCAAGTACTATTTGAGGATTAACAACATGTGATATTAGTGGATGAATTCAAACTATGAGAAGGTCCAAAATAGTATTTAAAAACCTGCTCACGAATTCGTGGCAAATCAAAAGTTACACAACGCACGAATTGGTACTCCACGAATTTTAATTTTGTTTGTGATTTAAGAATTTTTCAAGCTTTGAAGAGCAATTTTTCAAGCAGCAATTTGGTTGTTGAAAATGATTTCAAACAGGGGAAAACAATTAGTTCAATATGTGGTGTTGTGTAGACGAACGATGGGTATGTTTATAAAGTCATAATTCAATACTGGTTTGAGTGCGTTGTGTAACTTTTGATTTGCTGTTATTCGATCTGTCAGATATTAGGTATTTTTTATATATTTTTAATATTATATAAATTGTGGTTTTAGGAAATATATTTTTAGTTTTTAGTTTTTAGTTTTTTTTTTTTTTTTTTTTTTTTACGGATTGAAGTGGTTAGTAGATCATTTCGATGGCTTCTGAAAGTAAAACAAATACACTTTTACACCAAAAACATACTGAGGGTCATAATTTAAACATTAAACTCAATGCAATGTATAACTGTGATCCACTCAAGTAGTGATTGTAATGTATAATTTCATCATACGTGTTCATATTTTTGCAAGAACACAAGAGAGAGCTTTGAGACAATGCCTTTATTAAAACTGAAATAATTTGGTGAAATCATAATTAAGGAATATGTATATATATATATATATATATAAATAGAAGGTGACAATATGAGTTTTAGAAACTTAAACAATATTATACATGAGGATATTGATGAAAAGTTATTAAATACTTAAGTAGTAGTAGGTTCGGATAACAAAATGTCAAGACTCATCTGGCAGTTTCAAGTTTTTATTAGAAAATGATTATTTTCATACCAAAGTAAACAAGAGACAAAAAACACTATATATACATTCACTAATGTGAAGCCACCATATCAAAAAAGTCTTTTACTTACTTATAAAAGTAATATGTGTATATATATATATATATATATATGACTTATACATATTGTTTTTTTGACATGTTCTGAGAAGATAAGGAAAGTGCCTTTTTCTATTATAAAGAAATTGACATGTGATTCATACCTTTAAGCACAATTCCAATTGGTTATGTGCACTTATTGGTATTGATTGCATTATATTTGTATTATTTTGACGTATATTGGGATTAGAAAACACGTATGATTCCACAACTCGCATCTGTCAACAACTTCAGCGGATGAAACCTTGAGCGACGAACGAGAGTTCGACCCAACCCTTAGCCATCCATATCACATGTCTGTTCATCTAAGTATACAGAACGTTCATCTAGTTGACTTTCCATATCAACAACCCAAGTCAACGCCGTGGCGGTGAGCACCTCCGTTGTCTCCGAGGCGGCAGATCCGTGCGCCGGGGTGGTGTCTGTGCAGCTCGAGCTGTCACGAGCGGCATCACACGAGTACTGTGTGATCCAGCAAGCGACTGGAGTCCAAAGGGGACAAAATCTTGCGAACTTCGGTGAGCCCGCGTAGCCGTGCTTTTCAACTACAAAACCGATAGATAGACGCGTTACAGAGTGTTCAATCTGAGGCGTGGACAGATCTCAGCCACGGAGGGAATCGGCGATTGAAACCGCAGAGCATTATTGAAGACTTAAGAAACACATGTTTCTCATGCGACAAAGGCCTTGGTCGCACCAGGACCACCAGTGAGTGACCCAGATCCCAGGTCAGGGTCATGCGCTCACACTTGCGACTGCCTCGAGACGAAAAATTCAAACCACGTCGGTAGCCGATGGGTTCAGTCGGCCATGCGCCAAAATGACTCCTCTCCGGGGTCGGAATTCCTGGGGGAGAAGATCATGTTTTCCAGTTGTGCAGGTCTGGACACGCCAACTCAACTGGCACTGGAGAAGCCAAAGAGTTGTTCGGTGAGGTACACATTGCAAGTGTTTGACGAGCACTTGGCCGCTGCACCGGACGAAAGGGATCACGGCGGCGTGTTTTGGATGGTACTCACAGCTGGTGTGGGTTCGTGCGCATGGAGTGTCGGTAGAGATCAGGGGCTGGATTGTAAGACCAGGTTGGAATCGTGCAGGTGTGAAGTCAAGATTGGCATGAGATACCGGCATTGAAAAAAATGTCCATCTTGATGTTTAATTAGAAGTATGTTTTAAGAAATAGATATTTGTAGTTCTTTTTTAAAAAGAAAAGAATGTAAATTATATGTTTGTATAAAATTTATGGTATATTTAGTGACCAAGCAAATATTTGTTTAACCTTGAAAATCCTATTTATAAATCATATTGATCTTAAAAAGAATTCAACAATAAATATTTGTATATGTGTGCATGTGTGTATGTATATATATTAATAGTGATAAAATAGTATTATTTTTTGATTTCACCAAAAATAAACAATAATAATGACTTGAAAGAATAATCATAAGATGTAAAAAAAAAATATAACACAACATAAAGTGGTTAGTACAACATAATGTTTAGAAATATATTAAAATGTTTAAAATAAAACATTATATATAAGAAAAAAAAGTGAATATACTTTGTATGACTAATAAATTAAGACTCAATATATATATTGAAAAATTTAATTAAAACATCTAGTGTGTTATATTATATATTTAGTTCTTATTTTGAATTTGACTTTTTGAAATCAATTATTTTTTAAAGTATATTTTTAATATTTTTAATATTAAATTAATTAATATTTTTCAATATAATATTTTTATCAGATAGATTTAAATTACAAAAAGAATCTATTCTTTATTCTATTTAATCTTAAGTGTTGTTTCAACAACTTATGCTCACTTTTTGAAATATAATTTGGAAATTAAAATTTTTAAAATTTTTAAATTTTAAATCTATAAATAAATAATTCACATAAGCATTAAAATGTTTTAAGGAAATTCTCGAATTAAAATTATTGAAAACCTAAAATAATAAAACCTTTAATGGAAAACATAAATTTAAACTACTAGCACAAAGATATGTACTTTCAGCTCAAAATTTTGAAATGAAAAAGTGATTTATTATCAAATTTTAATGTTCAATATACTCAAAGTCACAACATTATATTAATTGCACATCTTAATTTTATTAATAATCAGTAAATCATATTTAATAGGCTTTGACAAAATACCAACTTACATTATGTCTATGATAGTCATTACATTAAAATATACCATAATATATGTTAATATAAAAATTTATATGTATGTATCCCTTTAAAGTACCATTTATCTATTTATGTGCCTATCAATTTATTTGTTAGAGAAATAAAATATATATTTAAATTCATATCTTTGCACTGATTAATGTTGATAACATTGCCACAAATTGCTGCTATTTGGTACTTACTATTAATATCTACCATTAATATTGAAGCTGATATTACTTGTTGTCAATGCTTGCCAATGGTTGCCATTGACTCTTGTAATGCATTGTAATAAATTATAAGACAATAATATAATAGAAATTCGTACAAATACATTATATTAAATTTGTATAAAGCAATCAAAATAACAAAACTATTGAGTAAAAAATCTCAATAAAAGATCTAAATAACACATCAAAATTTAATGTGGATAATTTTGTTTTTTTACAAAACTAGTCTTATGCATCAATAATTTGTTCTGACATTTTACTCCTAAAGTAAAGTCAAAGGCGTTAGAGCTTTTATATATATATATATATATATATATATATATATAGACACATATATATTTAATTCTTTCGTTATATTGATTTGCTAAATGTAATGTTTTATTTTTTATTTTTATACTATTTTTTATTTGAAAATTATTTATAGATATTATTTTACTTAAAAATTTTATATATATATATATATATATATATATATATATCAAGAAGTTTCAATATTAAGTAGGCTAAAAAAATTATTAAGTCATAAAAGAAATTATTAGGTAATAAAAATCTTTATCATAGATAGATTATAATATCACAATGTTATTGGGTATAGAATAAAAATTTAACGTATATTTGATTAGATCTTTTAAAGAAATTTTTATAATTTTTGCTATCAATTTTAATATGTTTTCTTTTATTCTTTACTAAATATTTTAAATGATTCAAAAGATTTGATGTATTTGTTGGAAAACATTTCAAGAGATCATGATTAAGAATATTTTAAAATATTTAACCAATCATATATTTATTAGATATTAATCAAAAATCAATCAATTGTAGAATTACGTAAAGTGAACTATAATCTAATATTTAGTTAG